TTTTTATTAACCACGATTTTGTAGATCCCTTTTGATCTTAACATGGACATTGATTTGAAGGATTGGGGCATACCTTCAATGTATGACACCAACAAAGGTGTACCACTGAGGTATGCGGATTTCTTTCAAATGCTCAACGTCTACCTGGATAGATTTCCTCCCAACCCCAAACTGGTTATCGTTGTCATCCCATCATTGACAATCTCAGAGATCATTGAGGTCTCAAGACGAAACAACTCAGAGCACATCTTCAGAGTTGGCGTACAACTGCAGCACTATCTGAACATCAGGTCCAACACGCTACGCCCCACTGGCATTCCATTAGAAGACTGTGTCGAATCCATTATCGAGATTCGAACAAACAATGGACTTGAGAGCCATTCAGAGGAATGGTTCTGGAATCAGCTTGCCAACCAAAACATGGACTCGGAACTTGATGGAACCAACATGCACAACACCCAAGGTTTACCGCCTCTCACTCCAGCTCTCCAGAACAAACAAGTCATCAATCAGTCAATCTCCCAGATGTTCTTATTCTTTTTGGTATGTTGAGCGACACACCTGTACCCTTCTGACAGAGCACTGACATATTGTGTTTAGGGATCATGGGTCAGCGATATTCTCTGGAGAGGCAACAACATCACCCACATCAAGGCTTTCCCAAAGATTGTCAGAGACTCGGAGAATCAGATCGATTGGAACAGTGTTGCCATGCAACAAACGTTGTCCACCAACAGGGTGGACTTGGCATCATACCCCCATTGCCCCATGCGACACTTCAAAGATCTTTGGAGGATGGCGCATCCATTCGCCACCTATCGATCGGCGCCAAAGTCTGGAAGCTCAGACTTCTAACTTAATTAACTAAGTAACTATAAAAATATTAATATAAGTTTTTAATCAGTATTGAAACTTCTGACAGTGAGAAATGAAGTCGCGATAGCGACGCAATGTGAGCGCCAGCGACAAAGCAGCGCCAGCACGAGCCATCCACACACATTGAGGAGGAGTCATATTCTTGGGTCTATGGACCAAAGAGAACAAGACAAATGGTTCTTAATAACATATGATTGATGGATGGCAATGACTTAAGTGGCGCCATGGATGCACCTTCATCTTCATCATGCTCCAATGCTTTATTCCTTTGTGTAGGTTTGTTGGTTGGTTAAGTCCTTCATTTCGAAAGAGTTGTGCAGTTGATGTATCGTGTATGTATGTATGTGTCCAGTCCTTCCATCCGTCCTGGATGGATGAATGTATGGATGGATGATTGGGGATGTACATCTATGTATGTAAATAAGTATCTAATATTATATATATTCCAGCCTGGTCAATACTTGTCCATTGGATCCTCTATCTTGTCGTCATTCTTTGCCATTTGATACTTCTCCTCCTCCCTCAGATCCTYCGATATATATATTGTTGTTGCCGCCATTGATATCAAACACAATGTTTGGGTCTTCGTCCACTACCAAGTCATTCTCATTATTGTTGTTGTTGTTGGTTGTGATTGTGTTGGTAGTGCTGTTTGTGTTGTTGGTTGTGTTGTTGTTTGTATCGCTAGGCTGTTGTTGTTGTAGTTGTGGTTGCTCCTGAACATGGACATCTCCACTATCATTGATCGTTGAATCTTCCAGTTGGTTGGCAATCTCGATGACTGCACCAGAGTTGGCAGAGGTGGACATGACAGAATCGGAATTCTCCTGCATCGAGTCGGGCGTCTGTGACTGATCAGATGACAGGGGCAGTGGCGGGGTGAGTGCCTCGGCCACTTGATCCGATTGCAGCAGCAGTGAGACGCGCTCGCCTTTGAACACCAGCTGGAATTTGTCAATCTCGCGCTCGCCTGTCGTCGGCGTGTCGGCGGCCAGCTGCTTCTCCTCCTCCTTCTGCTGCTTGACGCCCATCAGATGATTCTTGAGATCGGACAGATCGCCCTCAAAGAACGACGTAATCTCTCGAATCCAATCGTCCATCTCTTGTGGCGAGTCTGCAATCAGATGGAACACTCTAACCGTACCATCATTCTCATTGCTCAAGAAGAAGTAGTTCTTCTTTGTCGATTTATCCTTGTAGCATTTAGTATATAATGATAAGTCTATTGCTCCAACTGGTGATGGTGCCTGTTCAATGTTTGTTTGAGTTAATCACTTGTCCACACACACTTTGGCGTCGCGGCACGCCACGCCAAGTCTACGCGCGCGTCCACAGACTCTGACTCGGACTTTGAACTTACATTCTTTTGTTTGAAGTAATATAGTATTCCATTGTTGGTCAATACGAAGAATCGACGACGCCAGTTCTTGCTGATACCTTTGCCACCCAACTTCTTTAAGAATCCATTCCTCTTGTCAACTGAACTCAGTCCACTGACAGTGACATCCATTGGTATCTGAGAACCTGCAGGTGTCATTGCAGTAGTTGTTATATCATTCTTCATTGTTGTTGGTTGTTGTTGTAGATGTTGTTGTAGATGTATCTATGGATGATGCTGTTCTTTATGTTGATGATGATGATGATGATGTTGTATGCATATGATATGATGCGCTCACTCGACTAGAATGACTGAATGACTGACTGACTGATTGATTGATTGTTCTTGTTGTTGGATGGATGAGCTGTATGCTATGCTATGCTGTATTCAATCAATCAATCGAATCAATGATTGAGTGCTTGCTTCTCACTGGCTTGTGCTTGTGCAATTGGTTTGTGGTCTTGGTTTGTTGTTGGGGTCGAGTGGATGTATGTTGTTTGTTGTTGGATTGGATATAGATGCAAGGGGTTGGTTGGTTAGGTTGGGGTTGTTGGTATTGGAATTGAATGGGTTGATGTGTGTGTGTGTGTGTGTGTGTTGATATATATCTGAATGAATGAATAATGATCTAATTGTGTGTTATGTGTGTGTGTCTCTATCTATCTATATCTCTAACGTTCACAATCAGAATGTCGATGTTTGTTTGAATGAATGATTGAATGAATGAATTAATGATGTATTATTTAGAATAATAATAATAATAGACTCGAGTGATTAGTGTGTGTGACTGTGACTATGAATGTTAATGCTTGTGAATAATGATAATATTCATTAATGATAATAATAATAGTTGTTGGAGAAGTAGTTGGCAACATTCAAAGGGTCGACCATATGAAATTATAAATCGTTAGATTTATTTATTTTTCATTAAACATAGTTTTGTGGTTGTGCCCCTCCACATCACACCTCTGATGGGGTGTCGACCTTCGTTTTGTTGTCGTGTCGACCTTAATAGTTAAGGTTTCCCAAGTTATAAAGTTAGTGTGACTCAGCCAAGTCACAACCTTTATATTTATTTATAACATCACAATCATTATTGATTTCCCAGTCCTCACTCTCACTCAATCAATCACTCAATCTATCAATCAATCAATCAAAGTGAATGAACTTCAAAAAATGAACCTGCTTAAATCTTCATTCTAATAAGTATATAAATAAATGTTTATAAATAAATATATATTTCATTCGAATGAATGAATGTAAGATATCTGTTCTAAATCCGGAATACCATTCCAACGGATCATGGATGTCTTATTCCGAAGCCTTACATTACATTGAATAGATGACCTCACTACTAGAGTGGCACCTCTCTACGTAGATGCCATGCTCCAGAGTCTACCTCATTTATAAAACCAGAATAAAACCTCAAATGGACTCAGATTCGCCACTTCTGCCCATCTCAAAAAACGACAAGTGAGTTCACCAAAAACACAAAGATTGTGTTGTGTGTTGGCCTTGTGTGTGTTCCCAAACAAGGCCCCCATTCGTTCAAGTTCAAAAACACTCAATCAACTCAAGCACATTGGCTGTCTTCCTTCCTTCTTACCTTACCCACCACACAGTGATATTACTTACTTCACTTCCACTTCCACTTCTTATTTATACAAACACATAATCTATCAAACAAACTTAATATATTATATAATGTCTTCATCAATCAACTTGCCAGCTTTGGAGAGAGCATGTGCCGAGTCCAGAGGTCTGTCCATGGACGCTGTGGCCAAGGCCGCCTCAGGTCATTTGGGTCTACCCCTCGGCTCCACTGAGATTGGTGGTGCACTCTTTGGCCATTGTTTGAACTACAACCCAGAGAACGTAAGTGACCCGACGCGACGACACACCTGATTGATGTGATGATCATGTGCTGTGCTTCACCCACACATACTGATCAATCAATCAATCAACAATAACAGCCACACTGGTTGAACAGAGACTACTTCATCCTGTCTGCCGGACACGGATCCATGTTCTTGTACAGCTGGTTGCACCTTGCCGGATACGACCTCTCGTTGGAGGACATCAAGAACTTCAGACAGCACAAGTCCAAGACTCCAGGTCATCCCGAGTTCCATGACACCCCAGGTGTCGAGTCCACCACCGGTCCACTCGGACAAGGTATCGGTAACGCCGTCGGTATTGCCTCTGCCTGCAAGATGGCTGCTGCCAAGTATGTATCTCACAGCCAGCTCATCAATCACGCATGATCACAATCACTAACACGATCACTCATACAATTCAATCTCTCAATCAATCAATCAATCAATCAATCAATCAATCAATCACTATCATGGAACTATCCCAACTCACTCAATCATTCAATAACAATCCTGGAAACATCCCACTCACTCAAACACAATCATTGGAATCATCCCTCGCCACACCACGCACCACCCTCGCTTCATCAATCACAGATTCAACACTCAACAACAGGTTATCTTTAACCAAAAGGTTGTTGTGCTCTGTGGAGATGGTTGCCTCCAGGAGGGTATCTCACAGGAGGCTTTGTCTTTTGCCGGTCATCATCGTCTGGATAACTTGGTGCTGTTCTATGACTCGAACGACGTGACCTTGGACGCCATGGCCGACGAGACTCAGTCTGAGGACGCCGTCAAGAGATTCGAGGCACTCGGCTTTGAGGTCCAGCTCGTCACCGAGGGCAACTCAATCAACCACCTCATTGGCGCCTACCAGCACGCCATCACCTCCACATCAGGCAAGCCCCATGCCATCATCTGCAAGACCATCATCGCCAAGGGTATCCCCGAGGTCGCTGGAACCAACAAGGGTCACGGAGAGGCTGGCGTCAAGTTCATTGAGAACGCCAGAAAGAACCTCGGCTTGCCCGAGGAGCGCTTCTTCGTCTCCCAGGAGACTCGCCAGTTCTTCACCGCACACAAGGCCGCCCAGATCGCCAAGTACACCCAATGGGAGGCACTGTTTGCCGCCTGGAAGGTTGCCAACCCAGAGCTGGCCGCCCTCCTGGCTTCCGCCACCGTCGAGCACAGCACCGCCGTGCTGCTGGCCGCCATCCCCGAGTTCAACCCCAAGGACACCATCGCCACCCGTAAGGCCGGCAGCGACGTGCTGCAGCCAATCGCCAAGCACCTGCCCCTCGTGATCAGTGGCTCTGCCGATCTGCACGGCTCCACCCTCAACTACATCAAGGACGGCAAGGACTTCACCCCCAAGTGTCTGGACGGCCGCAACATCAAGTTTGGCATCCGTGAGCACGCCATGGGAGCCATGATGAACGGCTTTGCCTACCACGGCATCTTCCGCGCCTCTGGCGCCACCTTTTTGGTGTTCTCTGACTACCTGCGTCCATCGATCCGTCTGGCCGCACTCAGCCATCTGCCCGTCACCTACATCTTCACTCACGACTCGATTGGTGTCGGTGAGGACGGACCCACCCATCAGCCGGTCGAGACCGTCAGTGGCCTGCGTATGATCCCCAACCTCGACGTGATCCGTCCCGCCGACCCTGAGGAGACCGCCGCCGCCTTTGCCTCGGCCTTCACCAGGATGTGCGGCCCAACTCTCCTGGCGCTCACCCGTCAGAACCTCCCCAACCTGATCGGCTGCGCCGACGCCCAGACCCGTCGCCAGGGTGTCCTGCATGGCGGCTACGTGCTCGTCAAGGAGACCGGCGCACTCAAGCAGATCCTCATCGCTACCGGCTCAGAGGTACAACATGCCGTCGAGGCTGCCAAGAAGCTCGGCGAGGGTGTCCGTGTCGTCTCGATGCCCTGCACTGAGATCTTTGACCGCCAGAGCGCCGAGTACAAGGAGTCCGTGCTGCCCATCGCCTGTCGCAACAGAATCGCCATCGAGGCTGGTGTCACCTCCTTCTGGTACAAGTACGTCGGACTCGACGGCAAGGTCATTGGAATCGACCGCTTCGGTATGTCTGCTCCAGGCAACACCGTCATGAAGGAGTTGGGCATGTGTCCCGAGTCCATCCTCAAGGCTGCCGCATCCCAATAAAAAACTTTGTCTGCTTCGTCATTCATTTATACATCAACAGAGTTATCGATCTCTCTCTCTCTTTCTTTATTTGGACAACAACATTGGCTGAATGTTGTTGGTGTCATTGTTTGGCGAGGCTATATAGTCTGATTGATTGTTTGATTGAGCTTGATGGCATGGGAGAGAGATCGACATAAAGGAGATAGGAGGGAGGTATGGAGAAGGGGAATGTTTGATTGATTGATTGGTTTGTTGGTTGGATGTTGTGATTGATTGATTGATTGATTGGTTGATGGTTGACAGGCAGAATTAAATGTGATAATCCAAGGTGAAGGTAGTAAGATGGAGGTTTGGAAATGATTGTCCACTATGCTTGATTGATTGATTGAATGATTGAATGAATATGAGGAGGAAGGAGGAGGACTTGTGACTGTAGCTGTGACTGTGATTGTGACTGTGCTTTGGCGCAGTCATATTGAGAGAGATAGAGAGTATGTTGGTTTGTTTGATTGAAATGATTGATTGAATGATATTAGGTACAACATGATGATTTGGGAGGTGGCTTTGGAGGTTCAGCTCGTTGAGTTGACTGTTGATGTCGTTGTAGCAGTCGCTTGGATATCTCTAAAAACATGTTGTCTATGCCATCATTGTTCTTTGCCGAGGTCTCATAGTACATTGCATTTATCTCATCTGCATACTCCTTTGCCTGTTCCCTCGTAACAGTTCTTCTTGCTTCCAAGTCTATCTTGTTTCCACATAATACCAATACTATACATCATCGAATGAACGGATTAGTATATGAATGAATGAACATGTCTAGCCAGCATGCGGGCATCATCATACCTATATCTTCCAGTATGTTTGACCTCAGTTCTTCTACCCATTCCTTGACTTTATCGAATGACTTGCTGATTGTAATGTCAAACACCAGTACGGCTACACATGCACCTCGGTAGTACATTGGCGCCAGAGATCTGAACCTGTCCTGCCCAGCCGTGTCCCAAATCTGGAACTTTATTCTGCAACCATCCACATGTCTACATTCGCGCGATGTTATCAATCATTAATTAGTTGTTATGGTTGATTGATTGATTGAATGATTGAATGAACATACACATTCTTTGTAAGGAATGAGGCACCGACGGTTGATAGTGGCCTCGTGGGGAATATACCCTCTGAATATCTTATAGCGATTGCAGTCTTTCCTACATCTGTATTGCCAAGGAGTACAACCTTTTTCTCTAATAACAGTGTCTCCATATTATATCATTGATCAATCTCAATATCAATATGTATTCATATATTGATTGATTGTTGTGATTGATGATTTGACTGAATGTATGAATGATTGAATGAAGTTGATCCAATTGCTATATGCTATGCTATTGATTGAATGATATTGTTAATTGTTATATTTGTTGACTAAACAAATATATAATAATAATAATAAGATTGAATGAATGAATTGATTGAGGAATGTGCGATTGCTCCAAAGTCTTGCATCCAAACACCTCACACTTTCCCATTGATACTAATTTTTGCACATTAATGAATGGTCTAAACAAAACAAACACATCGAATGGTCAAACCAGGGTACAAGTTAAACCTTGTCTGTAACAACAGTTATTGTTACAGTAATTAATAATAAACATGTTCACACATATATTACACATACATTACACATACACCACACAACACAAACAAATAGATAATATATATATATATATATATATATATTGAATGATTGATTGAATGATTGATTGGTGAGTCCGGACTCAATGACCAGGCTGACATCACCGACGAAAGACTCTGATGTCATTTGTGGGTTCTCTTTTCCCTTGTACAGATATGTCCTTGAAACCCTATTTAGTATTAATTTAGTAAGCATGCATTATTAGAGAGATAGTTTTGTTGGTCAGATCGAAGGATGGAAGGAATGTGAGGGTATGAAAATTATAATTTAGTTGTTGTGTTTGTTGATGTGTGGTTGGGTTTGGTTTGTCTTGCTGGACCAAGTATGAACTTACACACCTTCGCACAAGCAACACAACAATAACAAACACACTTCATCTTCATTCAATTTACAGATATAAAGACATACACACAAGTTAACTTCACATCACATCCATCAATCATTCATTCGTTCACACATATATATATTTACATATATACATATACATAACGATATTAATATAACTATATATAACTATATAACTTATATTAAATATCTCATATTCACTCACTCAATCAATCAATCAATCAATTATCAAGATTAGTTTAGATTTAGATTTAGATCAAATTAGATTAGAATAAGAAACAATGTTCAACCCTTCTGGATCATCTAGTTCGTCGGGTAATAGCAATTACTATCGTCAGCCTACATCGACACCAGGTGTTAACGCTCCAAACCCACCTCCAAACTTCGCAGCGCCTCCTCCTGCTGGAAAGCCTCCCGCTGGTGCCTACCCACCCCAGGGAGCTCCAGGCGGCTACCCTCCCGCTGGTGCCCCAGGCGGATACCCTCCACCCCCAGCCGGTGCTCCAGGCGGCTACCCACCCGCTGGTGCTCCAGGCGGATACCCACCACCCCCAGCCGGTGCTCCAGGCGCCCCACCCGTCGGCGCTGGCCAGTACCCTCCACCACCCCAGCAAGCCGGCCAATACGGTCCACCCCCAACCATGGCCGCCGGCCAATACCCAACACCAGCTGCCACTGGCGGTATCAGTCTGTCAAAGGACCAGTCCATCTCGCTGAGCAAGGAGGACCCATCACTGCGTCGCATCTTTGTCGGACTTGGCTGGGATGTCAACCAGGTGCAGGGATGTCCATTCGATTTGGACGCCGTCTGCTTCATGCTCGGCACCAATGGCACCGTCAAGGTCGGCCAGGACTTTATCTTCTACAACAACAAGGTGTCTCGCGATGGCTCCGTCGAGCACAAGGGTGACAACCTCACCGGACAGGGTGAGGGCGATGACGAGGTCGTCACAATCAACCTGCCACAGGTCTCCCCAGACGTCATCAGAATCGCATTCGCCGTCTCTATCCACGACCCAGAGACCCGTCGCCAGAGCTTCAGCCAAGTGCCACGCGCCTTCATTCGCATTGCCAACCAAGAGAGTGGCAGAAACATCTGTCGTTACGACCTCTCCAACGAGGGCGGCACGAACACAGCCCTCATCGTCGGTGAGGTCTACCGTGAGGGTCCAGAGTGGAAGTTTGTTGCAGTCGGCAAGAGTTTCCCAGGTGGTCTCAAGTACCTCTGCCAGATCTTTGGTGTCAGCGTGTAGAATAGTATGTGTGTCCCATTCATTCATTCAATCAATCAATCAATCAAACAGCAACAACAGCAGCAGCAACAGCAACAGAAGCAGTAGTAGCGGCAACAGTAACAGCACTTAAGCAATGCAATAAATAAGTATATATAGCTTTATTATTATCTCATCCTCGTGGCTCACGATTAGTCATGCAAGAACTGTTGCTTCATCTTGATCTCGCGACGCATACGATTGGTCTGGATCTTGTGACGGATTAACAGGGCAGTGCCAACGATGATGCCGACACCGGCAACCGAACAGATAACGACAATGATGATCAGACGCCAGTTGGTCTCGGTCTTACAGTCACTGATAGTTTGAGACGAGATGAGCGAGCGGAATGACGGGTCGACGACCAGACGATCATGGAACGCGGGCGAGACGATGGCCACCATCTGTGTGTAGTTGCTAGTCTGGTTCAGGTTGGACTCGACCATCAGTGGGTCGGTCTGGTCCAGCATCACGACCTTGGAGCGCACGATACGATCCTCGACGATCAGTCCATTGGCAAAGTGTGCCTGCAGCACAGAGTCTCCGGCCACGAGCTGGAACTGGTTGAAACCCGACTGGTTGACAGTGTCGACTGTCTTGCAGTTGGACACGGTGGTCTTTGGTGCGGTCGACGAGAAGACCACCTGCAACGTGTTGAGCTGCGTATCAAAGCTCCAGCGCTGGACCGACACGATGAACTTGAGAGAGTTGGCCTGGATGCTGATGATCTGGCCGGCAAACTCGATGGTGGCGTCCTCCAGGAAGGTTGTGACATTGATCATCACAATGACGGTGCTGCCCGAGAAGGTGCCGTTGTAGACTGAGGTCTTGTCGCCGGGCTGGCTCATCAAGCGCCATGTGGCATCCTTGAGCGCCAAGGTCTTGCCAGGGACAGGCAAGTCGGTTTGGGAGTTAATTTCACGCAGATGAGTGATGGCTGAGGTGAAGCCTGTACCCTTTCCTGGATACTGGCCATTACCATTGCCGCCATCTGTTGGCGTACCACCACTTCCACCTTGCGCTGAGCAGTTCTTATACAACTCCCAGCCCTTCTCACACTTGCAAATGCCTTCAATGCACTCTCCATGTCCACTACAATCATTGTCGCACAAAGGGACTAGTTGGTAACGAGGGGAAGGGTTAGGGTAAGGTTTGGGGTATTGACATGGAAGTTGGGCAAACTTACAATCATAGAGGAATACTGGGGCACCGCCAGAGACGCCATTGACTGTGACATTAACGTAGGATCCACTTGGGGCATCGGATGCGTCGACTGTGCCCGGGAAGCGACAGATAAGAGTGGTGTCATTGACAAAGGTGACGTTGTTACATGGTGAATCGTGGATCTCAACCTTGAGCGCAACATCTCCAAAGTACATTCCAGTCACTGTGACATTTCCTCCAATCAAGTACTTGACGCGAGTGGCATTTGTTACAATGGGTGAGAGGTAGGTGAAGTTGCCAGCACCGGAAAGGTCGTTAATGACGGTGTCGTTGATAGTGTAACGCACTGGGTTTGTTCCCATGCCAGGTTGCATATCACATGTGAATGATGTGTGTGGAAGTATGAAGTTGACGTTGAGGCACTTGTATGGGCCGACCGACACCTTGGTGATGGTTCCGTTGAGGTACAGGTTGGTGCCCTGTCCAATCACCTTGCCACCAGCCGCGCCTGTTGGCGTCATTGAGGTGACCTGGGGGTCTTGGTATGAGAATGTCTTCGGGTCGGAGTGATCTGGGACGATGGTGTAGAGCAACGCGACCTCACCCTTTCCGTAGTAGGATGGCGCATCACATGTTATCTTGGTGTACGGGGTGATGATGCGTACGTTTGGACAATCTGCCATCCTGCCCTCTCCCAGCTTCAATGCTACGCGCATGATGTTTGAGATTGGTCCAAAGTTGATGCCGGAAATAGTGAGTCCGGTGCCATTGGTGGCGGGTGAGGTGACGCCTCTGATCGATGGTGGGTAGTAGGAAATTGTGATCGTGCCATTGGACATCGCCACGTTATTGGCATAGATTGTGCCGTCGAATGGACCGCCAATGCCTGGGGGAATCTGGAATGCAAGCACCTTGTTGTCAAAATCAGCATAGACCGAGGTCACGTTGGCAATGATACCCGTGGTACCATTTCGCAGGACTAGATTGAAGTTGCTGATGGCGGGTGGGGCATTGATCACCTCGATCTGGACAAGCTCGCCAGAAGTCTGGATTGTGCGGTTGTAGTTGGTCTTTAGGGACATGGGTCCGCTGAGTTTGTAGAATGCTCCCAGACCCGAGCCAATCGAGTCGTTCACAGTGCGCTCAAAGTATGGGCTGTTGATGGAGGCCGTGATATCATACATAAGGTATGAAGCTGTGAAAGTCGTAGAGGGCTCAAAGACCACGACGCCTGTCTTTGGACCAAACAACCAGTTGTAGTTGAGTTGGTTGGGATCGTACAGGACATTCATCCAGATGTCGGCCATCTGGTAGTACCTCGAGTTATCGGAGTATTGAGTACAAGTGGCTCGCAATATCTTGGCGGTCTTTATCGATTGGACTGTTCCCATCGCACCCTTCATATTCTCCACATACTGTCTATTCAATACCGTATTGACATCTTCCAAGGATAACTTATACTTGAAGCAGTTATAATATGTATCCTCATTTGAAATGTCTGGAATAGTTCCATGGATTATTGATTGATTAGTATGATATCCATCACGATCATTCATCGATAATCACTTACAAATTAGAGCCTTGAGACTGCTGCCCATTTGTCCATTGATTGAGACTTTGATGGGGAACATTCCATCGACGACAGAGTCGTTGAGGACACAGGTGAGCATGCCTGGATTGATTATGGCGATGTTGTTGCAGGACACTCGGTCAAAGGTGGTCATGGATATTTTGGCGACGGTGGCGTCGGAACCAAAGCCACTACCAGTGAGTGTTACAGTGTTGCCAGCGGTCAAACTGCCTGGATACACCACGGATACGTAGGGTGGCAGGTATGTGTAGAATGTAGTCTTGGTCGTGGTACCGTCGGTGATGGTGGCGGTGTACGTGGCACTATCGCCTGGTGGCATGGTACACGTGACGGTCTGGGCATTCGAGTCATAGACGGGCGATTGACACAAGAAGTCTGGCACGAGATTACCCGAGGTCTTCTTCATGGTGATGCTCACTTGATTAAAGTTGAATGATGATTGGCCTACTGTGCTGAATGTTGATGGGCCTCCAAACTGTGAGGCGGGCGTCATGTAGATGTCAAAGCCATTGTTGAACTCGCAGATGTATGGTTGGCTCTGGCCGGCCAGACCCTCATTGTTAAAGCAGCGCTTGGACACGGCGCCGCCGACGTACTTAAGGTAGACCTCATTGTCGGTGCTGTCGCCAATGTTTGGCTCGCCTGGACACCAGTCATTATAACCATAAGTACGGTCGGTATTAAGGTCATACATCAGCTGATTCTTCTCTGGACCTGCATTATAATACCACTTTCCATTTGGCAAATCACCGTATCCTGCCACCCAAAAGCTATGTTGATCGATATTACTCTTAAACGTCTTCAAAATAAAGTCCATCTCTGGTTGTGATGTGATCGTTACCAAGTATCCTCCACTAAAAATGAAAGTGTGATTGAGTTAGTGATTGAGTGGACCAGTGATTGGAATAGTTCCTGGGGGTGTGGAGTGGATAGTTACAGGTTTGAACATGAGGTCATGGCTGAGGAGATGCCAGAGTTGCTAGACATCCATCGGTAGGAATGTCCATTGCCATTGGTAGTCCATTTTGGATCTTGTGCAATGGCAACACTTGTGCAAAATAATAATACAACTGTCGACAACAGTGAGTAGTTGATTGTCATCTTATTCAATAATAATATTAATCAATGTTATAATTATATGTTATAACTTATAATTAGTATTATGATGTAAGGATTTGATTGGATTGGATTGGATTCAATTCGATTGGATTGTGATTGTATCGTATCTAAGAACACAAAGTACGATAATATTTTATTCGTCGTAATAATAATAATGATAATGATGTATGTCCCCACAAACCTAGGGATAGATAGGAGATGTAGGGCCACTCGTGTGGTGATGTCGTGTAGGCCTTCTACTTTGTTGAGATTGACAAGGAAAGGATAATGTCATCCCATCACATAACTCATGCCTTACACCCACTGACTGATCAATCGTCTCCTCCAAACGACCCCCCGCACCACAATGGGGACCAGAGCTCTACCAGTTCGCGTGGCAAGGTGGTCGTGCAGGCAAGGCCAACATGTCACCCCTTCCATCACTGCAATCAGATGTCGCTACGTCGACGGAAGCCGTACATGTGACAGAGGGGGTATCGACAGCGACCAACCAACTGACCACCTACCTCTCACTCTCGCGAGACGTCAATGATACCATCAACAATTGTGTGACACTAACATTGACAAAAGAGGCGAAATGAAAAAAACAAGTTTGTTGTTGCAAATATTACATCGATCATCGAGTGTGTGTTGTGCGTTTGTTTGGGAATAAAGGAGACTCAGCTGCATGATGGAGGTCATCATTCATTTAGTTTAGTGATGTATCTCGGTTTGATAATGATGGTGTAAAAAAAAGATATTTATATGTGTACAGAGTGTGCAAATCGGCACAGAGTTAGTTGGGTTTGTTGACAACAAGAAAGAACCATTGTCAGTCTGCTTATGAGAATTAATCATTTTAGATGATGACGGGATGTCAATGAATGTCCCGGTCCGAGGAAACATACTTCCAGTCAGCCAGCCATTCCATCATCGGCCAATTACTAACTTTGCTACATCATCCTCTTCACTCTGGGCAAGTAAAGTCTCACACAAGTCAGGGCTGGTCATGGGCACGGGCTGATTGAGCCCTCGTACTTGTACATGTACTACTTGTACTTGTACTTTACTACTTATCGACCACGTAACTAACCCAGGGATCTTGACCCAACATCCTTTTTCATTGCAAGTATAAGGCAATGAACAACATTTATCGATTTGTTGATCACGATCATCGTATCATCATTGTCCAAGACATGTCGTTATCTTATGATGTTGGTAAAAGACTTGACATTTTGGTAGTCCAACAACATTCATTTCATTCATTCATTCATTCAATCTATCAATCAATCAATCAAACTAACAACTACTGTAAAACTATATTATTACTTCTAACTTGTTAAAATAATAACAATGAATGATTGATTATTAGATGAAAGGCAGTGATCCATTCAGTTCATAACTACCCAACAAACAAAACATACAAGCGTACCTCCTCAGATTTATCGGCAACAACAACGTGTATGGATTCAAATAAAATCTAACAAGATTTAGGTGATCATGTGGGAGTGTTGTCAAAACAAACAACCAAAATCAAGCATGGTCTTCAACAACACACATATTTGATGATGATGGTTGTTGATGTTTGGGCTCATCCCCCCTCTCGCCAAAGTACCCCTAATTTGAACTGTCTTGGTCCGATGGGACCCATGTCATCTTTGTGTTTGTTTGTTAGTTCCATCACCAGAAATGAATGAATGGAAGGGTGGTATGGTATGGTGGAGCACATGCATCCCTTTCTAACTATGTGTGTTTGTGGTTAAGTGAAGGCAACAACTTAACTCCGACATTGATATGATACATTCACTTCAAATAGTTAACAACATCACCATTGACACAACAAATATCCATCTTTCCATTCATTCATACATTCATTCATTCATTCCAAACAACCAACAATCAAACATACATAACAAGTTGAATTGGCAGCAGTGGCACACGTGACAAGACAAGTACAAGAAGGAAGAGAGAGAGGTGGAAACAATGTCTGAAGTATCCGGTAATACAGGTGGCGTTGACCAATCATTCGGTATGTATACCCTTCATTCATTGATTGATTGATTGAATGACAATAATGACTGACTGACTGATCATGGACAGCCCAACACTTGTTGGAGAAGATATCAGAGAATATTAGTAGTTTGATATTGATGGTCGTGTTGTTGCAGGAGCAGAATGCTGATTTACCAATTGATGAGATTACTTTGGTTGCCAATGCCGCTGCATCAGTGGCTGAGATATCCACAAACTTGGCATCAGAGGAATATCAAGATTATCCAGATTTACAAAAGGAGATATTGGATGCATCTTCAAGTATGTTTGTTGTTTGATATGCGAGCATAGTGGATGATACTAATACTGTTTGAATGAATGAATGAATCTAGATATGTTGAGTACCAAACAACAGACATTGGACTCGATAAGAGCATTCCCAAATGAGCCAAATAGGAAACGATCATGGGATAACATCTCGGAACATTGTCGAAGTATTGGAAATGAGACAATCAAGATATTACATGTTGTATATGGTGCAGAGATGAAGAGGTAGCTATCCGGAATCATTCCAATCAATCAATGACAGACCCACTCACTAACACAATTACATGACGATCAAAAATAGATTGATCAAGAATGCAGATATTGCCAAACAAGAGGTTGAATCAATCAATATTGAAGAGATGGCAAAGAATCCAGAGGAGTTTGCAAATCATTTGTCAGGTTGCATTGCAAAGATACTCAAGTTTGCATCGTTGTTAAAGTTACGCGCTCAGGATGAACAGGGCGAGTGGTTAAAGAGCGAGTACGTGTCACAGGCACATCAGATGGAGCAGACTGGCAACCGATTGATTACACAGGTCAATGAGTTGTTGATGATGTCCGACGAGGGCCTCGACCCAATGTTGGTTGAGCAGTTCAATCAGACTCTGCTCGAGTTTGCCCAGACCATCACATCATGTAGACAACGAGTAATTGAGATGTTTGCCGATGTCAACAAGTCCATTGGACTGATTAGTGTTGTCGCGCCATCGCCATCATCACCATCATTGGCGGCATCTCTACAGAATGGCGGCAACACAAACAACGCAGCCACATCATCATCACCATCAACACAACCATCAACATCACCAAAGACACAAGACAACAACAAGGACTTTATACTCGAGGAATTGTTCCGAGGCACATCACGATCAGTTACCGACTTGTTGAGAGCGACGTATCGCGGTGAGTTCCCGCCCGTACAGGTACTCTCAGCCTCGCTGACAAACATATCATCAGTGCTGACGGCCAAGATCAGCTCAATGCCCAACGCATCGGAGGATGTAAAGAAGATGTGCCAGCGACTGGCCATCACGATCGCCCGGTTCGTCGGCCAGGCCTCCGAGTACGTCAACTCACCTGAGCAGGGCACACAGATCATACCAAAGATTGGCGACACAGTCGATGAGATACAAGAGATACTGCAGACGCTGCTCGAGACCATGTCCAGCCGAGAGTCTCAACTGATGAGCATCATTCGCAACAAGCAGGACTACCTGTCCATCTTGTCCGAGTCGCGCGAGCCCCTTGTCATCGTCGGCACGCTCAAAAACTTGAAGAAGAATCACATTAGGATGGAGGACATTGTCCGCGCATCCGACCCAGCCGACCTCAATCAGGCCGTGCAACAGATCGCCACGCTGCTCCCACAGCAGATCAATGTGGCCAAGGAGTTCCTGCGCGATGTGTCCAACCCCGAGACCAGACGACAGCTGTGCGACATCAACACAGAGATGCGAGTGCCGTTGGCGCACCTCGTGGCGCTGATGGAGCCCACGACGAGCAATGAGGCCAAGGACGCCATGACCAAGGAGCGATCGACGTCTAGCAAGATCATTGATGCGGCGCGAAGAGGAGAGGCCAAGCTTGTGGACTCTATGATCAGGGAGCTCGAGCAGGTCGTGTCCAACCTCGTCTCGATCGCCACGTCCGAGACAACTTTCGATCAGACCAGCAGCAGTTCTGCCGTTGCTGACTGCACAGAGCAATTGATCGCGCAGTTGAGCAAGCGAAGGACCATCGCGACCAACCTTGTCAAGAACCCGACGAACGACCAACTGCAGCGCGATCTCGAGCAGATCAATCAGACGATCGCATCTCTATCGATGGCGGTGGCCGAGTCGGTCACGTCCAACCTTGGTGTGCTGCTCCACAAGATAAAGACGGCAGCAGCCGATGGTCACAACGCAAGAGTCGAGGCATATATGTCAGAGATATCAAACAAGACATCAATGCCCATTCACACTGTTAACACACAAGAGTCGATCAAGAAGGACCCTATCATGTCCAAGCTGTTCTCGACACTAGCGGACGACCTGATGACGTTCGTTGGTATGTTGTTCCGTGAGTGTCGATCACTGACCTCTGCCAAGAATCAAGACACACGTATGATTGAGTACCTTGGCGAGCAAGTCCTGCTCAGGTTCAACGACCTACAGCATCATCTGAGTCAACACAAGAAGAAGCAGCAGCAACAGCAACAAGCGGCATCACCCGTGCCTCAGCCTCCCTCACCCACCAAGAGCAGCTCACCATTGACGATCGTGGAGAATGCGAGGGACTCACCTGTGCCAACCCCTGCTGATCAGCAGGATGCCTCTGCGTCCGTGGACCTGGTCGAGGAGGAGCCAACAGAGAAGAAGATCCTCGTGCTCTTTGATGAGCTGCTGGACATTCTGAGAAAGAGCGACGTGAACAAGACCATTGCTACATTGAAGGAGCTGATTGGCGAACAGAACAAACTGATGAGCAAGGCCAATGACCTCGCCAACAAGAGCTACAGCAAGCACTACAAGGCACAGGTCGAATCCAGTGTCTACTTATTCAAGAGCACAATGTCCCTGGTCATTGCTGCGGCCGGACGACTTGTCAAGCCTGGATCGGGCACCGTGCCTGGCGATGGAAATGCCGGTAACAACAGTCCAAGACACGAGGAGACACTCAATAAGTATGTCAGGACGGTCAAGAAGTCGATCGTGGAGCTTGGATACCTGCTCAAGTTCAATCCACACATCGAGGTTGTGGCCGCGTACAACTACTTGAGTGGACAGAGCCCCTCGTCCGACCCCAACATCCAACGCGCACTGTGTCACTTCAAGGAGTTTGCCATCAACTTTAAGGGCACGCCCAAGGTGACCGACCTGCTGGGCAAGATCGATCACTTTGCCCTCTCACCACTCTCCCTCGAGTGCATGTTTGAGATCCTGTTGCTTTGTGGATCGTTCGTGTTGGCGTCATCCGCGCACCAAGTTCACTGCCGCTACCATATACTTAGCTCTTACGAGATGGAGAAGGACGGCCAGATCTCGGACGCAATGCACAACATCATCCACCACCAGACCGAGCTGATCAAGGAGGCACAGTACTACCTGTCAACAGTGTCGGCCAACAAGATCAATGCCAACACTCGCAAACTGATCACAAACAGTCTGCAGACGGCAAATCAATCATTGTCACAGCAGGTAGAGGCATCCGTGCAGATGATGGACAAGAAGCCACGCGAGATGGCACAGTTGGACAAGCTCATCACAATTATCGATGTCATTCGCGAGTCTGTGGACAACTCCGCGAGTGCAGCGTTCAACAGCGCCCAACAGATCGATCCCGACATCCTTATCAATCAATCAATCGCCGGATTCATCCCATCTCTGTCGCTGTCGACATCCAAGGCGCTTAACGATCAGGAGAGCGAAGAGTCAAAGCTGGCGCTGGAGAAACTGGTCGAGCAGATCACATCGCCACTCGAGCAGATCGAACTGAACATGCTGACCAAGGCGCAGGACAAACTGGACTCGGTCGAGGAGAAGCTGCGCACGATAATCACCGAGGAGAAGTCATTGTTGAGCAGGATGCTCACATATCTTGTCGAGACGGACAAGCCAGGCATCGTGGACGTGTCCAAGGCCATGGTCAAGTGCCATCAGGACCTTGTGGGAATGGCCGAGTCGACGGCCAAGGACGACACGGTCAAGGACAGCGTGAGAGAGATATGTCACGAACTGGCACAGCTCATTCCCCAGCTTCTACAATCAATGAAGTCGGTACTGCAGTCCAATGAGGCACTGGACCTGGCTGCCTACCAGAAGCCCATCCACATCTCCAATCAAATCAAACGAAACATCACATGCCTGCAAGAGCTGTCGGCTCCATCCTTTGTGCCAAGGTTGTTGCTACATATACTGCGTCAACACAAACAGCTCAGTCAGCCAGAGTCCAATGAAGCGTCATTCACAAAGCTGCGGTCGACAGGTCAATCAATCGTCGAGGAGGCTCTTCTCACATATCTTCCATTTGTAATCGATAGCGATCGCCAGCAACGTATACGCGAGGCCATTGCCAAGTTGGAAGAACATCTCAAGAACAACAACAACAACGCGTCATCATACGAAGAGTACAAACAGGCATTGGTGGACAGCGCGGAAGCACTGGTCAACGAGCTATCTATGACCTCGCTACAACTTTTGGCATCACAACAGCAGGGCCTTTGCATGCTGGTCATATTATCAGTGCGTGGCAATTTCAAACAGTTGGTGGAGACTCAGAGGACGATCTTGGCGGCACAGCAGAAGCTCAAGATGCACCTTCAGAAGGACCTTCAATCGATCCAGGACCCATCCAGGAAGCACTTGATCTTTGTATCGCTGGGCGAGATGGATGTGCTCATCCCTGAGATTGTCAAGGTGTCCAAGGAGGTGGTACTGAATCCACAGGACTACAAGAAGCGCGAGCAACTCGAGCTGCTGTATACAAAGATGGAGTCGCCAATGTCGACCATCTTCTACCAGATCAGCCAGATGCGTGGCAACTTGTTCGACAACATGGTCAAGAATCATCAGTCCGTGCTAATCAAGCTGGATGACGCGCTTCGTCTTCTCAAGCGTGCCGACATTGAGCTGCATCTCAAGTCGCTGGAAGCTCTCGAGGAGAAGCTCCTCACATATCTCGAGGTCGACGATATGGCCGCCATGCGTCCCAAGCTGCAAGCCCAGTACAAGGATCTGAGTCGACTGAGCAAAGAGTACATTGTTCACAAGGAGCGCGTCAGTGTCACCCCGGCCATGGAGAACGAGAAGGACATGGCATTGCTCAACCTATTGTTGACCGTTGGCAGCTTGGTACCATCACTATCACACTCTGCCAACTCTGCCACTGGCAACGGCAGCGGAGACATGGATCAACACGTCAACATCAAGAGCATCATTCAATCAGTCAAGTCCAACAACATACTCAATCTCTCCAAGAACCCAGAGCGTGTGCAAAAGTTCATTGCCATTCAACAGAATGGACGCACTTCGCCTCTGTCAGTGTCACCCAAGGCTCAGTCACCGGTGTTCCGTCCACGCAGCATGATGATCACGCCCGTTCAAACAAAGGCCAAGCAGCCAATGCGACTCGAGACAATCACGCCAATGGCGCAGAAGCCCAAGCAGCTAGAGGTGTCGATCAGGAATGTGGCCAAGCAAGTGGCTGCCTCCAGCGCGGCACTCGAGCAGCTGCCACAGTTGGCGCAGGAGTTGGAAAACTACGCCACACACATCAAGGCCAACCAACGTCAGAGCATCGTGCAGAGTGGCAGGACGATCTCGGCGCTGATCAACCAGCTCTGCATGGCAATTGTAAATATAACGAACGACTGCTCTATCGCTCAGGTGCAGACGCGACTGTATCAGGTGGCGCAGACACTCAAGACGTTGGGCTGTCAGATCAAGATCCTGTCCGGAGTCAAGGCTGTGTCACCAAGTGGTGCGGCATCCGAGCCAGACTCTGACCTACAACTCACATCATTGGTTAACATGCTTGGCAGTGCATTGCAAGAAGTCAACTCTTGTATCAACACGCTGTCAATATCAAACAAATAATAATAATACTAATAATATAATATTAAGTTGACAACTGACACTTTATTTTGAAAAGCAGACACAGGAGTGCAGATAAGTCTAGCCAACTCTGCGCGCAACACACACAATCACACCGAACTCACCTTTCTGCTTTTCAAAATAAAGTGTCAACTATCAGGTGAATGAGGAGTGAATGGATAATCCATTGATTGACAAACTGTCCTGAGTTTGACACTCCTCTCCATCGATGACATCCACATTATTAAAATTATCAATCAATCAGATAATTTATTAAACTTAAGGAGGTCAGTGACAGTTGAATTAACAATCAAAGGGTATTATTATTCAAAAGAAGGGTTGATTCCGATTATTGGTTATTGTTGTTGATGTTGTGGTCATCATCCTCATCAACTTCCCAGTTCTTCTCGAAATCCTCTGGCTTCATTGGGTTAATGGAGAACTGTTCTACTCTTTTCACCATCTCATCCTATATTTGAACGTTGTCTTGGATATCTTGGAAGTATAGGTTGTAGAATACCCAACTAGGGTATTTATCAGGTAGACCGAGTTTGATATTCTCCAAGATCTGGACTGAATTCATGGCCCATGTCGCATAACTGTTGAATAAATCGACGAGTGCCTTTCTACATGTTTCATCACAACATTCTCTCAAGATGTAATCATGCATTACATCTGTTTGTGTAGTTTGATTCTGCTGCTTGGAATGTTGTTGTTGTTGTTGATGGTATCCGATTCTGACATTGTACCTGTTATTCCTATATATATACTCTATATCACTTTGAATGACTCCTCGATCTATACCACCTTGTTGTGAGAGCATTGATGAGAACACAATCAAACAAATAGCAATAATGAACAGCAACATATTATTGACATTGTTACCAGAGCCAGGATAAATAATATAATACATATTGGCAATAACCACACATTACCTGTATGTGTGTTGAATTGTACATCAGGTGTTGCAATGCAGGGCTTTCATTGAGGCTCACAGTGATACACTTGTGAGTGTACCCCTTTTCATTCCCACACAATTCAAACAGTGATCATGATTGACTCCCTCTATATCCTTGTTCCATCATGATTGATTGATTGATTGATGAGTCCTAGGTATGGAGAGGGATTGGTGTTAGCAATGGTACTTGAACAAGTAGAATGTATGTATGATGATTCTCCTGCAGCTGTATGTCATTTATGTTTAATTGAATGTTATTATTTATACTAAAGAGATAGGAATGAATACAAAGAAATCAATTCTATTACTTGTTGCTATATTATGGTGTATGTTTGTTGTATTCTATTTCCGTCTGGAGCAAATACCAGGATTGGAAAAGACAATCACCATAAATCATCAAAGTCATGTCCACCACGATCATGAAGATATAAGAGAAGATAAACATATAATAGTTAATAATATTGATGAAGATAACAAGTCTTTGGAAGATCTTACAAAACCAACTGATATTCAACCTAGTCCCACTCCAACTCAAACTCCATCACCTACTCCATCACCAACACCAACACCATCTCAACCTTATTCCAGGACAGGTGTTGTAACTACGACACAAAGCACAACTGCCACAACGACTAGTCCAGCATCCTCAATAACTGCTACGACAATTGTTATAACAACTGGATCATTTGATTCACAACCTTTAACACCTGTCCCCACCTATCATATTCCTACTCCAACTCCCACTCCAACCTCACCGACTCCACAACAGACTCCTGCCCCTACTACTCCAATTCCAACTCAAACTCCTGCCCCTAATACTCCTGTTCCACAACAGACTCCTGCCCCTACAACTCCAATTCCAACTCAAACTCCTACTCCGACCCAAACCACACCAACTCAGATACCTACTATATATATTGATACAGAGACTGAATCAGAGAATATGATACCAGAAGATGTAGTTTCAGATGATAAGCTCACATCTTCAATATCATCAATTAATTTGGAAGTTGAGAGTGAGGAAGAAGATGATATTCTAAGTATCAATGTTAGAGAAAAGGTATCAAAGAAGGTCAGTCTAAACTGTGAATACATTGATATAGTATACACTTGGGTAAATGGTTCAGATCCTGAGTGGAGCAAACAGAGACAGATTGCTGAAAAGAAGTAAGTTATATGCCTCAAGGAACATTCGTTCATTCATTCTCTAATAATATGGCATATATATTTCTAGATATGGAATACCTTACCAAGGACCATGGAGATATAGAGATGTGATGGGATTGAGATATTCAATGAGGAGTGTTAGGAAACATCTACCATGGGTCAGACATATATTCGTTGTATCCGCTGGACAGTATCCATCGTGGTACAATCAAACAACTTTGTTTGAGGAAACTGGTGTATCATTCATATTCCATGATGAACTATTTGTTAATAAGTAAGTGAAGTAATGTAATTGGAAGTGTACACTATCCGGTGATCATCACTAACATGTTTAAACCTAAATTAGGAGTCATTTACCAACATTCCAATCATCAGCTATTGAGTCCAACTTTTACAACCTTCCAGAGAGGGTATCAGATTGCTTCATCTACATGAATGATGATATATTCTATGGCAATGATGGTAAGTAAATCAAATCTATGATACATCGAAATACTCCAATAAGACTCACTCACTCAATTAATCAATCATACTTTAGTACCAATGGATGATTTATACTCACCTGTTAAAGGACAACCATTGTATTATACTGGATGGCTGGCACCAGTTGACATTGAGACTCAGAAGAAGAATCCATTCCATGCTTGCCATGCATTCACCAATGACCTGATGAATTCAATATGGGGCGTTGCAAGAAGGAAGTACTTCTCTCATGGTCCATCATTGATGAACAAGAGGATGATGAAGTTGATCCATGATACCTTCCCAGCTGCTTTGAACAATGACAGTAGTATGCCATTCAGACACAATCAGATGGTGTCATGTCACTTCACCTACATACACTTTGCCAATAGATTCGTTGTGTCCTACACTGGCGATGAGAAGTTGAACTACTACGGAGAGATCCGAGACTATGTCGGTCACATGGAGAAGTTAACGGCAGACATCATGGCTAAGCGTCCAAAGTTTGTTTGTCTCAACGATGGACTGCCGCAACGATTCAATCAATCGGCGGTCGACACTCTTGAGGTCATGTTCGAGACGTTGTTCCCAGAGAAAGGAAGTTGGGAGTTAAAATAAAGAAAGAGAAAGAGAAAGAGAATGAATGAATGTGATTGGATGAATGAAGAGTGGATATCGATCGGTTCCAGACACACTGATTGTGTATGTCTGTCCACCTTCTTATCTGTATCTATATAATTATTATTATTACTATTACTATTACTATTACACTCCAAGACATTTGTCAAACAGCTGAGAGGTGACACCATAGATCTCACAGGCCCAGGACTTGTGGCAGTTGGCATCGCATGCCTTCAGGACTGGCGAGTTGACCAAGTAGCGGTAGTAGTTGTTGAACTGAGCAGTGTTGGTAGAGATCTGCTGGCCGAGGTTCCACCATGACTGGACGGACAGGTCGGGCATTCCGTAGTACTCCTTGGCACTGTAGGCCAGATGGACGGTGAGGTTGCCGACGACGTTGGCCTGGGTGAGGTTGGTGTGGAACTGGTAGTAGTTGACCATCTCGTTGGTGTCGTAGTTGAACTCGTAGATTCTGAAGCCTGGCTCGTGGTTCTGGTAGGTGGTCATGCTGGGTGCCACGTAGTTCATGCCAGTTGGCTTGGTGTGAGTGGCAACGTCAGAGAACAGTACAAGCTGGTCATAGTGAGTGTGGCCGTAGATCTGAGCGGTGATCACAGAGGAGTAGCGCTCGACGATGTTTTGGTAGATCTCACACCAGACATCGAGGGTGCCAGACTTGAGGGTGCATGGGATATGACCAATGATCATGACCTTCTCGTTGTTGGCCTCGGACTGAGCAAGCACGTCGATGAGCCAGTCGGTCTGGTTGTTTGGCTTGTTCATGTTGGAGTGCACCAACAGGTTGTAGAAGTTGATGTTGTCGGCGTCGAACGAGTTGAGCGAGACGACACGCAGACCAGGCTGCAGCAACATGGTGTAGTAGCCAGACTTCTTGACACTCTCGAGCTCGTCTTGGGCGAGGAATGGAGTCCAGGCCTCGTGGATGGTGTCGAGCAGCCACTGCTTGTTTGGCAGGATGAACTCGTCAGATGGCCACGACTCGTGGTTGCCAACGGTGGGCAAGATGATGGTGTTGGGGAAGTACTGCTGCACCATCTCCATGATGACCTGGGTGGACGAGATCTGCTTGGTCTCGTTCTGCATCCAGACGTCGTGTGGGGGGTTGTCACCAGTGAACAAGATGACGTCGATTGGCATGGTCTTGTTGATCTCGAGGATCTGCTCAAAGATCAGCTTGACGGTGCGCTGGGGGATGTCACAGAGGTAGTGGCCAAAGTAGCCAGCGTCACCAGTGCCGTCGCGGCAACAGAGTGGCTTGCCACAGTTGGGGTTGGAGCCCTCGACGTAGTGTGGGTCAAAGTGGATGTCTGTCAACTGGAGAATGTATCCATTGCCCGAGAATCCCTTTGGCATACGTGGCACCTGGTGAGACAAGTCAACACTTGGAGTCTTTACACTCAAAGTCTTTGCAGTCATCATTGACAACTCTCCCATCTCATTATAATGGTTCATAATAGTCTCCTTTGTCTTACAGAATCTAAGCTTGCTGCAAAGATCTAAAATGATTGAATAGAATGAATGAATGAGTATGTTGTTGCTGTTGATGTGGCTGTGGCTTTGGGCAACTTACCCTCTGGGTTAATGTCGTTGGAGAGGACAACACCGTATACGATTGGGGCGTAAGCAAACATGATACCCTCGCACTGTTGCAAAGAAGTGAGATTGAATGTTAGTATGATGGACTCCACTCATGAATGTTCATTTAGTTGAATATACATACGACATCTGGCAACTCAATCTTCAAGGCAATACAGATGTCAGTGGCACCCTTAACAACCTCCTCAACTGATGCGTTTCTCTATATTGTCATTGTTGGAATATTAGTTAGAATGAATGAATGAATGAATGAATGAATGAATGAATGAATGAATGAATGAATGAATGAATGGACATACCTCGAGATAACCTTTGAGTAGAGTGGCACCGACTTCACAGAGATCACAAGAGATCTTCTCAGTACCCTTTACACTTATCTTGTGTAGTCTTTCAATGATGGATTGATCCAAACTCTCGTGAGCATTGATCAATGTTGCCACAAAGCACACTGACAACAACAGTGTTACAATCACCAATTTGTTGTTGATTGCCATTATTGGTATCCTTATCCTATTATATTATATTATAATGTTATATATATTGTATGTTAATACTATATTTGATTGATATTGTTGATTGGTTGAACAGGAGTATGTATGTTTGACCTACTTTACACTACTATTATTATTAATAAGATTATACAGAATATATATAATAGTATAAGTTATAATAAGTTAGATATTATAGAATAAATGTTTTATAATGTCACCTTCGGAGCTAGGTATAACAGAGTAGTAACCTGGAACGAAACAAGACTGTCATTGCGTAATGTCATCAGTCACTCTCAAGTACTCAACAACATAGACACACTCTCTCATCTTTTCTTCCTTTGCAGCCCGAACTAGGTAGCCCCAAATCACCAAAACAGTAAACCACGGTTGAGTGTGTGTGGTATGCTGAGTCCACCTACCTGCAAAATCAACAAAAAGACTCGATGAATACTCGTTGCATACTTCCATGTGTCAACAACAAACAAATAATTGGTACCCAACTGATAAGATGATCACGAGTGGTTGCGTTTGCAGGCCTCAACAACAAAAAAACAAACACTGTGTGTGGTGGACCTTTGCATGATGGTCCTACATAGCCCGATGAGTCATGATGTTGCCGAGATACTTTCGGAAGTAGTAGTCATTAGTAATGAGTAATTAATGTGGTAAGTAAGTATGAGTGGGTGATCGATGGTTCCACACACACATCGAATGTTGTTGAACATGTTTGTTGTAAAAGAGTAAGTGATCATGGATATTTATAACATTACGGGTGGATAATGAGCGAATAAGTGATCCCCAATAGTGGTGTGTGTTGTGTTGGAGATGGATGATTGATTGAAAGAATGAAATGATGACCTGGTAATAATTGATTTATTGTAGTTGTAGTTGACCAGTGATTGGCCGTCCAAACACACACACACAGACATAGCCAATCGGACTTAGAACTCTTCTTCCAAACCGGTTGGTTCCTCCTCGATAAAGTTCATTGTGGATAGCTCAAAGTATTTGTCGTCAACCAACCTTTGCTGTCTTCTCCTCCACAGGAAGACGACGGCGCCAATGATGGTGAATGTGGTGATCGTTCCAAGAAGTGCTGCAACAATGATACCCGATGTGTTCTTGACACTACCATTATTGTTGTTATTGCCGACCACATTATGTATAGTGCTGCCAACATTCTTTCGGACATGGTGAACCACTAATGGGAAGCGTGAAGGTTGTATGTTAGAAATTGGAAATGGATGTCGACAGCTTGGCTTAACCAAGACTACTTACCTGTCTTTGAGATATTTGAAAGCAAGGCATTGGGAGATACACAGGTGTATATGTTGGATGGGTTGGAGCAAGAGCCACCGCGGGCAATACACTCATTTCCACAGCTGACAAGGTTGTACTCGCAACGATTACCGTACTTTCCAGCTGGGCAAGTGCATGCACCATTGGAGCCACACTTTCCACCACCAAGACAGCCACAGATACGACAGTCCTCATTGCCAGTGGCGTCTTGGACGTACCTGGACGCCTCGAATGTGTTCAGGATTCCATAGCCGAGTATCTTGTTGGGTGTGTTCCTCTGGGAGGCAGTGGCAACAACAGCGCGGTACACTTGCTTGGGAGTCCATGTTGGGTTGCGTTGCATGACGAGTGCGATCGATCCGGCAGCCAGTGGACACGAGAAACTGGTTCCACTCATCAGTGTATAACAGGTGTTGCATGTGAATGAGGCAACAAAGTTCTTGTAGCCAAGTGCAGAGATCTCAGGCTTGACACGACCGTCGGCAGCTGGTCCTCTTGAGGTGAAAGATGTTCCAACTCCATTTAGGTCGACGGCGCCGACTGAGATGACGTACTTTCCATCGGCAGGGGCACCTGGACCAGCTTCGGCATCGTTGCCTACACTAGACACGACGACCACACCCTTGGACACGGCCATGTCTGCAGCGCGAGTAATGTGGGCAATCTCGGAAGTCATGTCCACATAGTGGTACCAGAGAGTGTAGCCAAGCGAGCTGGACACAAGCTCGGCGCCCAGTCCCTCGCCCCATTCAATGGCTCTGACCCAGTTATCCTCCTCCACTATCTTCTCATCGGTGACATCCTCTGTCTTGGCCAACAGGTACTGCGCATTGTAAGCTGGACCAACCATGATGTGAGGGTTGTATCCGGCGATGGTGGAGAGTGTTGCCGTTCCATGCTCATTCTGTCTGTCATTCCAGGGCGATGTGACGTTTGGTCCATTGTTGATAAAGTCATAGGTATCCACGATCTTGAGTGATTTGAATGCCTCGTGGGAGGTCAAGAATCCCGAGTCACAGATGAGGATGGTGATGCCACTGCCGTCCATACCCAGCTCGTGGGTCTTGGGCACGTTTACTTGGAGACTGGCATTGTATGTGCGGCTGTAAAAGTCCTTCTCGCTGGCGAACTTGCTAGGGCCTGGTACATCGACTGCTTGGATATCCCTTGTTGCGTACTCTGACTCAACGTCGCCCAGCTCTTGAACAAACTTGTGCTGAACAGCTGGTGCAGTGGCAGCATCGAGTGGCCTGTAGAACTTGGCGACCATGTCCACCTTGTCGACAAACTTAAGTGCAGTGATACAGTGCATGACATCGTTTAGTGTTGCCTCGTTGGCATCGTTGCTCGCCTGGCTGTCCATCTTGATAGAGATTGATATCGAGTTGAGCCACTTTGACTTGTGATACAGGGTGACCAGTTCCTGGACAGTCTCGCCCTGCTCATTCTTCTTATGGCCACACTCTAGTACGGCATTGACCAACGACTCCTGAACTGGCACATCGGTCTCATCCATAATCTTTGATTTATCCATTCCACGAGCTTGACGTCTTTGGATGGATGATGAAGACACACCGAGCAGGTCAGTCAGTTCATGGAGTGCCTTGGTGAGATCAATGTTGGCGTGGGCATGGCCATCGTCGACGAAACGTTTGGTGTTGAAGAATACCCATAGTTTGGCATCCTGATCGTAGACCTCGTGGACTCTTTTGGACACCTTTCCAAAGTTCTTTATCTTGCTCTCTTGGAATTGAACCACCGACTTGCGTACATGTCTAGTGGCAGCTGCATCTGTCAATGCAATAACCATCACTATCCAAAGTAGCGTAACCGCCACCATCATAGTTGAACACCTTAACGTAGTAGACATTGTTCAATCACTACTGGTAAGTGAATGTATGTATATGTATATATTGATTGATTGGTGGATTGAATGAATGATTGTTGGAGTTGAAGGTATGGTGGTTTGGTTGGAAGGATAAAGTATAGTTATTATAATTATAATGAATTGTTTAAGCAATGCCAACCTTTATAGATGGAAGGACATGCATCGCTACCACCCTTCCATCCATACACACTTCCATCCATCCATGTCATTGGGTTGTGGTCACTAAGTTGTGGACACATCACACAACACCCTCTTACATTCTCTTCCTCACTCATTCATTCATTCATGACATATATATATATATATATACTTACAGATAATGATACATTGAGATAGTTCCATAACCAATCGTTGTCATTGTGTGTCGTCTGATGTGTGTTGGAAATTTCCAGAAGTAGATGGCTGGGGTGTGAACAGACGAATGTGATGGATTGCTCATCAACTTGGTCAACCCACACACTCACACAATGATTGAAAGACAGAACTTCTGAAGGTCCAACGAATAAATATATATGTGTGTGTCTATTTACTATGTTACTAAGATGTTGATGATGATGTTGATGTCGTTGTTGTTGTTGTTGTGGTAGTAGTCGCAGATGTTGTTGATGTTGGTGGATATGTGAATAACTTGTCTAGAAGTGATGGACGATGTTCGGATGATAATGGCAATACACGACTCAGTATTAGATTCTGAAGTAGTACCTTGGAACGATGTGCTTTCGTCAGATTCTGTAGTAGTAGTGCCAGAAGTTGGCATTGTTGCAGGAATGTCTGTCTTTGCTGGTCCATCACTGATGTTGTGTTTGATTGGTTGCCACGCTGTTGAATGTACTCGACAAGAATTGATGATATCTCTTCGATGAATGTCTTCATTGTTTGAGCACTGCGACGATCTCTTGAAACGGCTTCGCCAACATCTGCTATGAGATCAATGAGTACACGTGATTTGTTTCGATCGTTGAGGTCACCGATTGCTGCGGGTGGCAGGTAGAGTAGAAGATCATAGAGTTCTTTGCGCTCCTTCTGGTCGACGACTGATCGCGAGAACAACACGCGTAGGAACTCTATCCATTGCTCACTGGACTTGATTGCAAACAGATTCTTGAAGTGATCGACCACAACATTGACCAATAAGTATTGTACACGTACATTCTCAACAACATTCAATATTGTTGATAAATGTGTGTCATTGTTGTCATTGTTGTTCTCTGATGATGATGATTGAGACATTGATAGTGTCTCCAATAAATGACCCATTACAAGTTCTTCATCTACATAACTAAGCTTCATGTAATCGAATGCTCTCTTCCTATAAACAGAGTAACTGATAGTCTCTGTCTTGTCAATATTCTTATAAACATTTGATTGATTGAATCTTGCTGGTTGTTGTTGTTGCTGTTGCTGTTGTTGTCTAGGTTGAGTTTGAGCATGTTGAGTATGTGTTTGAGTTTGATTATGTTGGTTATGTTGATGTTGTTGATGTTGATGTTGTTGCTGATCTTGTTGTTGTATTCTTTGAACATTAGCAACAGGATGCCTATTCATTAGGAATAGAGAGCTGAAGATGACCACAATAAATGACATTATGGCACCAATGATTGAGCTTACAAGTGATGTAGCCCATTTTATAAGACCCAATATAAGGTTAAACAGACCCATTGCCTTTATCTCTTTCTCTGTCTCTGTCTACTTGACTTTTGTGCTTGCACATTCATTCAATTAATCACTGATATGATCACCCTTGTAAGTTGGGTAATTAATGTAGTTCGTGAAAATAGTGCAAAAAGGGTGTTTTGAGAGACGAAACATCAACTGTGCACGCCCTTTTTGATCTAATTTCGAACTACAAATTTTATGCACAACGTCCCAAAAATCAATTTCCATCTTTTAAGTAATAATATTATACTAATAATAATAATAATAATAATAATAAGTAAGAAAGTAAGTAGGTTAAGAGAGGACTAATTATGACAAGTTCATGGGCTTTTTAACTATACTCTGATATCTGGTAGTTTATCATGTCTGCCGTTAGGCCAGCAATTTGTGCTGTCGCCCTGCAATCCAACGCGTTAGCTAAACCCAGAGAAGCTATCGTCATGGTGCAGACAATGTTAAACTACCTAATATCAAGTATATAGTCAAATCATTAGCCAACACAGTCCCCCTGTCAACTGGTTTGTTCTCGTCGTCCCCTACGTGATGTTCCAGAGCATATTGGCCACAAGACCGATCAATTGGCCTGCAAGGGGCATTATCCTGTAGCCCTTACACTCAAGTCCTTTGGATTGATGTGGATGTTCAGACGAACACCTCATTCTATTTTGACGGTAATGAATGAGTTGGAATGAGTCACACGCCTAATCTTTGAATAAATACAACAACTACAACAACAACAAAGTTTGGAGATTGACGAGGATTTGATGCAACAAGGGAGAATCAACCCAAAAAGCCTAATATGGTCTTTGTGTGGTCATTGGGTGATCAGTGGGGGGTAGGGTAGGTACTTGATCAATCACACTCTAGAGGGTCAAACCATCAACACACTCAATTCAGATGTATCCTTTCATTTCACTGCGACCCTTGACAATTGAACAATCAAACAAACAAACACACGATTATTGCTGTTGTTGTTGTTGTTGTGTCTGTTCTGTCTGTCTCTACTTCTCACTCAACCATGTGTCAATCATTCAATCAGCTGGCGGAATGGTTGAGTGATTGACCGTGTTGTATATGTGTATGTGTATGTAATATATGTGTGTTTATGACCACCCTTCATCGTCTTACAAAGCATAACCATCCACTACACTTGTCAATCAATCAATCAATCAATCAATCAATCAATCAGTCAATCCAACCACACTCACTAATACATACATACATATATATATAACATTAATACAACAACAAACAACCAACAACTCAATTCATTTCAACTCAATTCAACTCAAGCACACACATTCATTGATTCTTTGAAGTGAACACACTTACACTTACATCCTCATATCACACATATACCCATCAGACGGACACATTGTGTGTGTATTCGCTACACTACTATCATCATCTCCAATTCCAATCCATTCACTCATTCATATATTCAAAAATATACATATATAGACCAATGCATTGGTCATTGTTGTGTTGTTTATTTATTATTATTACTACTACCAATCAATCATAATAATCATCAGCATCATCATCATCATCAGCATCCTCACTCTCAATCATAAACACATCCACATCCATTCATTCATTTATTATCCCTCCTATCAATCAAATAATTAATTAATTATTTATCCATAACCTTGTTGTTGTATTATTATTAATATATAAATATAAATATAATATATATATTATTATAAAATTGTATTATTATTATAATATTATTACCACTCCATCAAATATTAAAGAAAGATGGAATTGACAAATGGACATCATTATGCCATTGAGCAATCATTGTTGGGCTCAACACCAATCTTTAAACATAAGAGAAGAGGTGGAATCAGCAGTGAATCACCGGGTGATCACTCGCCAGTGATCACTGTTGCCAAGAAACAAGAGCAGACACATAACAAACTGCAAAGAGCACTGGAGCGCAATATTCTCTTTAAACATCTGGACAATGATGAGCGAAGTCTAGTCATCGACGTCATGTATGAGCAATCATACGTTGCCAACGACATTATTATACATCAAGGTGACAAAGGTGACCATTTCTACATTGTCGATCATGGCCACTGTGATATTTACATCAAGAAAGATAACAATCAACCTCCTGCCCACGTTATGGAAGTAACTGCTGGCGGTAGCTTTGGAGAATTGGCATTAATTTATGGTAGTCCAAGAGCTGCCACTGTAGTTGTATGTGTACAATATTATACATTGATAGCCAATGACAACTTATTAACATCAATGTTGTACTACATAGGCAAGGACAGATGTAAAGTTATGGGCAATTGATAGGATAGCATATAGGACTATACTTAAAGTCACTACAACATACAAGAGAGAACTTTATGAGAGGTTCTTGGAGAATGTTTCTATACTTAGTCCGCTGGAGAGACACGAGAGAGTCTGTCTGGCCGACGCTTTGGAACCTTGCAGCTTCAAACACGACGAGACCATCGTCCGACAGGGAGATCCAGGCGAGATATTCTATATTATAGTGGAGGGCGAGGTGCGCGTCACGCAGAACGATGAGCAGGGTGCCGAGATCGAGGTGTCTCGACTGCGCGCTGGACAATACTTTGGAGAGATTGCACTGCTGACAAAGGACAGCAGTCGCGCGGCAACAGTCACCTCGGTCGGCGTCACCAAGTGCGTGGGCATCGACCGACAGCGATTCAATCGTCTCCTTGGACCATGTATGCATATCCTTCAGAGGAATATGGACATGTATAACCAGCTCATGCATCTGAATTAGACAAGGAGGTAGCGTTAGAGCTAAGCTACTTCCATCTACACACACCAACTGCTTTGACATCACAGCAGCAATGTATTTGTAATAAACGACATCATCCATGTGTATTATATCATCTTCCAATCTAATCGCACTTTGACTACAAGATTAATCAATAAATAAATTGATCCAATCAATCACAACTTCTAAGTTGTTCATTAATGCATGCTGGTTAATACATATAAATACAAATAAAGGATGAACGATATCAAGTGTCTATTGTTTGCAAAGGTCAAAGAATTGATGTTGGGCGATGGCGTTGCGGTTGACCACGTCATTGTAAAGTTGCCCGTAGACAGCTGTGACACCAACTCATTGATAGCCAATCTCAAGACTCAATATCCATCGGCATCCAATGTAAGGAAGCGACGATAGTGAAGAGGTATTCAAAGACTAACACTATACATTACATAATGCAGCTGTTAGATGTATGTATGGTTGCGATCAATCTAGAATACATTGAGAAGGGTACCAATGCAGTGATCAAGCCAACAGACGAAGTAGCAATCATACCACCCGTCAGCGGAGGTTAATAAACACAGACACACAAGCATGGCTACATGCTATGCTATCCATTGTAATATATACTATATCATCTTTATCTATATCTGTGAGCCACTGACTGCGTCATAGTTCTAATGATTGATTGAATGTAAGTATCAGTGAAGCAAGCATGATCAATCAATATGCTTACTATCTTCAAAGGTAGACTTGATAGCCAATCTGATTGAGTGATGGGTAGCAGTCCCATACTGGAGCATTTGTAGAGTGCTACACTGAGCAGACCGAGTTGGATGGCGATGTATGTGAGCTTCATTAGCAATACTTCACGCTTGAGCACTTCGAATCTGCTAAACACTGCGTTTGTCTGTAGAATAGCCTTGATAGGTCCGATGACCATGTATATAACAGGAGGCATTGTGAAGATACTGATCGCACTACCAATCATCCACAAGATGAAGGCATTCATAAATATACCCTTAATTGGTGACTTGGCAATCTCCCATCCTTTCTGTAATATGTTTGATTGATTGATTGATTGATGATCATTGTCAATCATCTTGCTGCTGTTGCTGATGCTGTTGTTCTCGTTATATATATATTACCTTGCTCATCAATACTTCATTGGGAGGCAGTTTACTTGATGCACCTGAGGCATTAGTTGCAGCGGCGACATTGGCAGCAGCGATTGACATTATAGGAATGGGAGGTCTAGCTACTTTATCCTGTTGTTGTATCTGTTGTTGTGTATTTACATCTATTGCCCATCTTCTCTTATTATTACTGTTGGTAAAGTTAGTCATTGCTGTTGATTTAGTATTATATTATGTGAGGTGAATGAAAGAATGAATGAAGTTGTGGTTGAAGTTGAAGTCGTGAATGTGTCCACAATTGGGACCACTTTGGAGAATGACGTGGAATGTCAAGAGATGGATAAATACATGGAACTAATAATAATAATAATGATGTTTATTAATTTAGTTGATCTCCTCTAAGAACATCCGCCTTGACGCTTCCAACATCAACTTCTTTCGCTGCATTAAACTATTATGTCTGTCCATTGCCGTTGACTTGAAACTGTCTGCGAACTTCTCTAGTGGTTGTGGAGGTTCTAAAGGTTCTAAACTATTGTTGTTGTTTGGTGTCGTTGTTGTATCGCTGTTGTTATCATCCTTATTGTTGTCTGTTGTTTCATTCGAGTCTGTTGTTGTCGTCTTTGACGTATCATTTGTTGTATTATCTATACATGTGTCATTGTTGTTGTTGGTTGTGATGTGTTCGATTGCTGTATGATCAACTATGTTAGATTGATCATTTGTGTCATTGTTGTGTTCATTGGTGTTGTTATGAGCCAATGTACTACATCTTGATGTTGAAGAAGAGGATGATGAAGATGAAGATGAAGATGGGGATGATGAAGTTGATGCTTGATCCACTGGATTACTATTCTGTATATTCTGTTGTTGTTGCGCTCCACTATTGATTGTCGAATGTGATGTAGTAGTGTCTGCCTCACTGATTGACTCTAACACTACCAATCTTCCCTCCAATATATTGTTGATTGTGCTCTGTACGCTATTGGTGGCGACCAGATCTTGACGTATGAGTTCGAGTGGAGTGTCTGGAAACATTTCATGCACAGTAGATGCCTCCACAGAGTATGGAATGGCCATTGATATAGGTGTGTTTGATGTTGATGTAGTAGTTGATGTAGATGTCGATCCATGATGACCAAATGTTGATGTCGATGGTTGACCATTATGTCTTGGTGTGGATGGTTGTCCATCCTCAGTCTGCAACTCAATCAATGATCTTCTACATGTTGGGCATGAAGTCTGTTGTTCAAGCCATGATCTTAGGCATGAGCTAGATTGAAGGACGGAGTCAGTATTCGCTCATTCATTGGCTCAATCAATCAATGATTAACATACTGATGGAATATATGTCCACATGGTAGTTTCTTTGCAGAGTCCATGCGGTCTCTACATATTGCGCAGTCATCGTTGTATATCTCCAATTCATCGGGTGTAGCATTCAAATACTTTGTATCCATATCCTCCACCAGTTTACAATAGTTCCTATATCCATTGATCTTTCGCCTCAGCTCCGTGAACACTCCTTTAAAGTAACTAAACAATACCAAGTCCAACAATGTTGGCATTCCTTGTATGATGACGATGTGAATCAGGTGGACTAGGATATGATTGATTGTTAGTTTGAATCAATGATCACATCCTTGTCTAATCACACAGCACTTACAACATGTTCCAGCAAGAATTATAGAGTCAGAGACAAACTCTGCAAAGTAGATATATTGTCCTCTTTTTTCCCAGACACCTGTCCATGCCATATCAAACAGATGTATAGAGTACTTGACAAGTGTCTGTATAGTTTCAAAGAAGATTGTGAAGAACTATATGTTGAGTGTCACCTGATGTTAGCGTGTGCATGCGTGATGACTCATGATCTCCAGTGTAGTCCTGTCTTTTTGGACTTACCTCAAAGTTTAGAATCATCAAGTTGGATAGGCCATAGATATAGAACATCGAGGTTGAAAGGTAGAAGCAAGCCAAGTCCGAGAACATGATTGATACCAGCAGGAATAGCAACTTGAAGTGTATCTTGACATGTGTATTTGGTGAGAATGTATTCAGCTAAAATGATTGATTGATGTATCAGTGTCGTGTCGTGTCAGTGTCATCATTCAATCAATCAATCAATAAGATGATTGAGATCCACATACATATTCGAATCTGTCTCTGGCTAACAATGAGAACTGTTTGAGGAAACATTGAACGGCGAACCAGAAGCCCCACATCAGTGTTGAGATGAGCTCATGATCCTTGACCGCGAATATAAAGAACTTGGTGACGATGTAGAATAGGAATCTCTCTTTGAAGTTCTAATGATAGGTGCACAGATGTCAGTATGATTGATTGATTGATTGAATGAATGAATGAATGAATGATGGTCTTCTTACTCTCTCTTCAATCTCTCGTAGTTTCCCAAAGAACATATATTGAATTATCTTGCCAAAGACTATAAGAAGAGTGAATAGGGTATTGACTACAACGGCCAGATTGATGTGACTCTTTGCAATCTCCTTTATAGTGCTGTCATTGGCATTGAACACAGAGTCCAACGTAAGAATATGAGGTATCCTTATGACTATTGTGACGATGCTCAACGTCAAGTATGTTTCAATCAGTGCCATCACTTCTTGTCTTGTTCCATTCGAGATCTATATATCTTTCTTTACTCTGTATTTATATGTATGTATATGTATATGTATGTATATGTATGTATGTAATGTTCAATTCAATGTAGATTATGTGTTTGACTAGCAATAATAATAACACGTTGACATTCATGAATGTCAACATCAACAAACACAAAAGGATAAAAAACCAAAACAACCCCCAAAAACAACAATCCCAAAGTTATCGATGGTCCCAAGTTTGAAAGAACAATAGTCCTTGCAAACATATAATAATTAAATGATTGATTCTACTTTACCTTAGGGCTAGAAAGAAGTAAAATTTATATTTATAAAAGAGTGACAGTTACAATCAACCTTTCACTTATCTTTGGTAATAATACTCATATTAATCAATCAAACAATGAAGAATAAGACAACTTCGTATTAACTTCCGAGGATGTTAAAAAATCAACATCCTCATCCATTTGTTGATGGAGGTCCAATTGAAATTGGAAAGAACTATGGTGCTCAAGACCCCAAGTCAAAGGAGGATCCAGAGAATGATAAACTCACACCAAAAAAAATAATTATTAATATTTTTCTTATTGATCTATAACTATTTAATAATAAATTATATTAATATTCAATTGATATATATATACTTATTCTGACCATTATTATCTCTATCATTCTTCAATCAATCAACCAGTTGAATTTTAATTTTATAGTATATATATTATTTTTTATATTCACTCTTCAATATGTCACTTGAACAAATGGCTGTCTTTATCCAGTCCTTGCAGGACTTCACTCCAGCTGAAAAAGAGGATGCTATTGCTAACCTCACGCCCTTTGAGGTTACCAAGTTATTCCTATTATCTGAAGCTCATAGGATCAAATACTTCAGAGATAGCCTCAAAGTTTGTAAGTATAACAATTTAGTCGATTAATTCTTTGTATACAAGAACTAACCTTATCATTCTAGCCAAACTCTCAGTTGGAAATGGCCAAGATCACTCATCCATTGAAGTAAATTCTCAATACTGGATATCGTACCAAGGGGAGTACACATTTAAAGGCGTCCGTCTTCGCAAGAACTGTCAAGTCATTTATCCAATTTGTTGACAGGACCCCATGTCTCTCAGGATTATTTACCAACATTCTTGGAGGAATAACCGCTGGAGTAGTCGTAGGGATAGTTCTTAAATACGTGTAGGGCAACCTAGCTGGGTGCCATATCGATCCCTTTTAGAGTTATTATAATAAAGTGTTTTTTTAAATGAATGATCAAGCATCTTCCAGCTTTAATTTTGGTACGATGTTCATTGCTTGCAACTCTTGGAAGAGTAGCTTGCAGGCATAGGGTATCTGGAGTGTTGAAACGTTCAATGTGGACTTGCAATACTGACACCATCCTTCGTAGCCAAGGAATCCACACTTCTTGCAAGCGTACACTGTGAATCTATCTGAACTGATCATCAATCGCTCCATGATCAGTGCACTGGCGCCATAGCCAATGAGACAATCACGCTCCATCTCTCCGAGACGAAGACCTCCACCTCGCGCTCTACCTTCAGTAGGCTGACGCGTCAGTGTCACTGTGGGTCCTCTGGCACGCGCATGCATCTTGTCCATAACCATGTGCTTCAGTTTCTGATAGAAGATTGGTCCAAAGAAGATGAAGCACTGTAGTGGCTCGCCTGTCACTCCTGATGTGACGTAGTCCTTGCCTCCATAGCTGAAGCCCTTGGAGATCAGCACCTTGCTAATGTCCTCGACCTTGTCGCCACCAAAGCACGTGCCGTAGCCAAAGCCGCCGCGCAGCACTCCGGCCTTGCCCGCCAGCAGCTCGATCATCTTTCCAATGGTCATACGAGATGGGAAACCGTGCGGATTCATAATAATGTCTGGACAAATGCCCAGGTCGGTGAAGGGCATGTCCTCCTGCTTGACGATGATGCCGCACACACCCTTCTGGCCGTGACGACTGGAGAACTTGTCACCCAGTTCGGGACGACGCGTGGAGCGCATCAACAGCTTGATGAGCAGCTGGTCGTCGTCACCGGTCGTCAGCATGACCTTGTCGACGAATGCAGGGTTCTCGTACTTGTAGGCTGTGAACGAGGCCTTGTATGCAGAGTCGGGGATCTTGTCAGAGTTGGCTACAATGTCCACTGTGTTGATGGGCGAGTACTTGTTGATGAGCACCTGGCCCTTCTGTGCCAGCTCGCCTGGCTTGGCTAGTCCGTCCTCGTCGAGCAGCGCGAACTTGGGCTGTCGCGATGACTCGGCTGATGGCGGCATGATACGATCGGATGTCTGATTGGCGTATCTCTTGACGGCCGACACCTGCTTCTTCAGTACGATGCAGCGGCCAAATCCACGGTCCAGTGATGCCTTGTTCATTACGAGGGCATCTTCGATATCGTAGCCAGAATATGACATGACGGCCACTGTGGCGTTGTGACCAGCCGGTACCTTGACGTAGTTGACCAGCTCCAGCACTCTGGTCTGGCAGAGTGGGCGCTGTGGGTAGACGAGCAGGTAGAGCAGAGTGTCTATTCTCGCCAGTTGATTGTATGCAATAGCACCAATTGCTTGCTTACCCATAGCACATTGGTAGGTGTTACGTGGCGATTGGTTGTGATGGGGATAGGGGATGAGGCCAGAGACGCAGCCCAGCAGTGTGAAGGGCTCAATCTCGAGATGTGTAGTAAGGCTCGCGTCGATCGCCTTCTCGTTCCATGCCAAGAATGAGTCGTTCTCCTCGTTCACATCCAAATATTCGATGAGTCCATCGCGCACAAAGTCGTCGAATGTGCGTAGTCCGTCCTTGAGCTCCTCGACGTGGTACTGCTTGACGCGTGGAACGCCTTCGTCCACGATGATCATGGGGCGGCACAGACGGCCACCGTCGCACGCAATGCTCACAGTCTTGTGTGCGTCGTTCTTGCAGATGGACACAAACTCTCTGATCCTGCCAGCGCGTCTCATCCTGCGCAGTGTGTTAGTGAAGAGGGCGGGCGAGTTGTGGATGCCAATGATCTGACCGTTCAGGAAGACCAGGTAGGCTGTCCTAGAGTTGAGCTCCTCACCAGTGATCAGCAGGATGTCCTGAACGCCAAGGTTGTAGGCCAGACGCAGTAATGGGCCCTCAGGCTCATCTGTCGTGACGTGAGTCATCAGGGCAAAGTTCTTGACGAGACCACATGCCTCACCTTCTGGCGTGTCAGAGGGGCAGAGCATGCCCCACTGTGATGGCTGCAGCGAACGCGGTCCACTGATCTTTCGCGTCTTTTCAAACTGTGACTGGATTCTCGTCATCATGCCCAGCGCAGAGATGAAGGAGAGACGCGAGAGCACCTGTGTCACACCTGATCGCTCCATCTTGAAACGCTTGAGGTTCCACTGACCAGACGAAATGGCGTGCACAAAGCCATTGGTGAGCGTCTCGGTACGGATGAGCGAGGCAAAGTCAAAGGGCATTGCACGGTTGGGCTTGAGGATGGCTTGGTCCGTGGCCTTCTTGAGCTCGGCCTGGAACTTCTTGAACAGGTCCTCAAACAGCAGCGATATCAGCTGGCCTGACAACTCTATTCTCTTGTTACCGTAGTAGTCCTTGTCGTCCATGGCCGACTTGTCCTTGGAGGCGATGATGATGCGACGCATCATCAGCGCCACGTAGATCACCTTGAGACGGAAGTTGTAGCGACGCACGGGCACATGGTTCAGGACCACACCGGCCAGGATGTCCTTGGCCTCGTCCGACTTGGACTTCTTGACCATGGTGGACCAGGGCCGACGCACGGACTTGATCCTGGCGCCGAGATAGTCGAGCGCCTGTGTCTGAGTGTGCACCTTGCACTTGTTGCACTCCTCCAACGAGAAGGAGATGGCGTCGAGGAAGATCTCGTCCGAGCCGACGAGTTGCACCACCTCCTGGTCGGTCTCGACTCCCATGCCCTTGAGGAAGATGACGACAGGGATGTCCTCTGAGAATGTGTTGTGCTTGAGATAGAGTCGGTCGTTCTTCATAAAGATCGCTGTACGTGACTTGCGCTCGTGTGTCGACGAGGTGACCGTGGAGCAAGTCTGGCCCTTGGAGTCAGTCTCGATAATGATACGATTCTTGGACAGTTGCTCGTGGTTGAGGATGACCTTCTCGTTGCCACGCACAATGAAGTAGCCGCCAGGGTCGAGTGGGCATTCTCCCAGCGTAGCCATTTGCTCATGTGTCTTGTTGGTGAGCACACAGTTTGAACTGCGCAACATGATTGGTATTCTACCAATGGTGACATTCTTCTTTCCGACCACCTGTTTGCCACGAGTATACTCCATATTGACTGTTATCGGTGCCGAGTACGTCATATCCCTCAGTCTACACTTTTGAGGTGTTACCGACACCGACTCATAGTTCTCCTCAATCAATCCTGGTACTCCTACTGATATATCTGTGAACCTGTGTGATCAATCAATCAATCAATGAGTCAGTTATCATTCATTTGTTCTTTCATTCAATCGATCAATAAACTATACCTTGCATAGAATGTTGGGTCGACCTCTGTTGTTATCCTCTCGTTCGCTCTAACGATCTTCTTGATCTCTACGTTGATAAAGTAGTTGAATGAATCTATATGTTGTTTGACCAGCCCTCTGCACCTCAGGAATGCTGGTACCAGCTTCCATTTCTCCTACATTATCATAACTAGTCAGTCATTCGTTCATTCATTGTCACTTATCACTCAATCAATCAATTACTTACCTCTATTGTTTTGATATTGTCTGTTAACTTTGATTCATCATAGAGGTCATCCAATGATCCACCTATATGTGTTGTTGTTGATGTTGATGATGTCATAGTGTATGTTGAAGTCGGCTCTTCAAATATTACATGTATACACTAATAACGATGAACAACAATAATCTACAAAGTTGGCGCTTCATCTTCGTTTTTGTGTCAAAGACCCAGAAACACTCAAGTTCATTCAATCAATCTATCAATAACAATGACATGAGTAATAATAATAATAAGTTAATACAACATATTGAAAGAGATATAACAGATGTTGAATCAAATAATAGATGGTCATTAATAAGTGCTATTGCAATAACATCAATTGTAAAGTTATCATTGGGTCCTTGTGGAGGTGACAAGCTCATCGTCGATGAGAATGGTGTCATCTCTGTCACCAACGATGGTTGGACAATAATCAAGAGTCTATCAAGACAGACAAACTCATATGGCACTATATCAAATCGTGATATGATGCTACTTGACAAAAACAAGGACATCGACAAGGATGAGGACGATGAAGATACCAATGATGGAGCGAGGTTCAACTCCAAATCAAGTATGAATAGACTTGGCTATCAATCAATTGTGGAGTTGATCATTGGTTGTTGTGGAGATCATAATAGGGCATTTGGTGATGGCACGACAACTATTGTTGTGATGATTGGTGCCATGTGTCAGAGTGCCTACAATCTGATTGTTGAGCGATCAATACATCCATCAGTGGTGGCCAGAGCATTCAAACATGCGATGAGTAGTGCACTCACCATGTTGGATACTATGGCCATTAGTATCGATGCTGCCAATGATGTGACATTGGAGGACCTTGGAGAGTGTGCGCTCAACTCTAAATCGATCGCATATTGGAAGAAGCCCTTAACACGCCTGTGCATTGACGCTGTGCAATGGTTGGCCGCAAGCAGGTTGGCACGTCGTGGCAACAACACCAAGGAACAACAGACACAAGTGGAGCTACTACCATTCCTTCGCAAACAAAGTGTGGACCATCAGAGATGGATTGGCATTGTGAGAGTGGAGGGCGGACAACTGTCGGATACGAGATTGATCAGAGGCGTGGTCCTGAGACGATTCCTCTCGAGTGATGCCATGCCCAAAGTGCTCAACGATGTGCGCGTGGCGGTGGTGTCGTTCCCCTTGGAGATACCGACCCCGACTACCAAGCACACCCTACACCTGTCGTCGCCAGAGGAGATGCAGTCTATGCTCGCCTACATTCAAGACTATGCCGCCAAGGTTGTATCTTGTCTAAAGGCCCTCGACGTCAAGCTTGTTGTGTGTCAATGGGGCATCGACCCATCTGTCAACGAGTCTCTGGCCAAAGAGGGCATATCAGCATTATCATGGGTCAGTGGCGAGGAGCTGGAACGCGTGGCATTGGCATGTGGCGCCACAATCAGCTCATCACTCGAACGTCTGGTACCGACTCACATTGGACATGTTACAGAGATGCACGAGAAGATCATTGGCAACGATAATGCCAGGTATACATTCTTAGAGGGCTGCGATCACATTCAGAGCGCCATTCAGACAATGTTGATACGTGGTGGCTCTGAGCAGATGTGTCGCGATGCAGAGGAGTGCGCCAGGGACTGTCTAAGTGTACTGGCCAACAGTCTGGACAATCCCAAGATACTGGTCGGTGGTGGAGTGACCGAGCTCCAACTGTACACCAAACTACTCAAACAACAGCAACATCCATCATCGAACGAGTTGATGCACGACATGGCAATGAAAGGTTGGATCACATCATTATTATCGATACCAACGACATTGATCGAGAATGCAGGGTTGGACATTGGCAATAATGGACTATTATGGACATTGATCAAACGGTATGAAGAAGATGACAAGTGTAGTCTTGGTGCCAACTCCTCTTATGGGATGTCATTGGAACAACAGGAATTGATTGTGGACCTATCCAAACAACGTGTATTTGAACTATTGGATCAGAAGAAGTCCATCCTACAGCTAGCCACCGAGGCAGCATGTATGATAATGCAGATTGATTCATTCCTGATCGTTTGAACTTCATTCATCGCTCACTCATTTCAAATAAACTTGGTTGACTTGCAACAACACCTCATTCATTCATTCATTCTTGAAGTTGAACCTACAGATACATGTTACAACTAAGAGCACTAAGTAGTTGTACAAGAGGTTACTACTATGTTGGAACTAACCTCGCGAGAGGATACACAACAACAACAACAACAACAACAACAAAAAACGAGGTCACTATACCTGTGATTGACTTTGCTGCCGCTGTCTCCAACGACAGCCAACATCATGACTCAACATCAGTGCAATCCATTGCCAAACAGGTAGGTATGCAGATAGGCTATTGACCGATGGATGGAATGCATGACAGTAGCTGACAAGACTTTCTCCTCGCTTGGGGCAAAGATACTCAATGCCGGCACAAAGATTGGCTTCATGTATTTGAAGAACACGCCAATCACTGATGTATTGAAGCGACATACGTTGGAGCAGACCAAACGATTGTTTGATATGCCAATGAGCGAGAAGCAACAGTTTGCTCAGAGTGCAGAGAACACAAGAGGTTACTACAGATTCGAAGGCGTTGGTTATGGTGAGAGCGTAACATTGGATGAGAATCTTGAGGAGCAGAACACTACAAGTAACAAGACTGACGACTACATCGAAGCGTTCTTGATGGGCAACGACCAACATACACCATGGACACTTAAGAAGGAATACTATAAGAAACGATTCGGCATCACCTCTGCCAGACAGTATCAATCACTGGCGCATTGTCAACCGAACCAATGGCCGTCCACCTCCACCTCGAACGACACCTTCAGACAAGACATGAATGAATACTACAACGCATGCACATTGACATCTCGACTCATCATTGAGACCATTGCTCTGTCATTGGGACTGCCTCGCGATCACTTCGTCCACCTTCACAACAACAACGATCATACAATGGAGCTTAAACACTATTGTCCAAGTCAAACAAAGCCGACTGATGTGGCGACACCAACGTCAGTCCGAATGAAGGAGCACGCCGATCTAAGTACTGTGACATTACTGATACAGAACGAAGGCACTGGTGGCCTTCAGCTATGGTCCAATGATGCCAACAAGTGGATTGACGCACCTTTTGTACCAGATGCCATACTCGTCAACACTGGCAACATAATGGAAAGACTAAGCAATGGAGTCTACCTCAACACCATGCATCGCGTCGTCCTCAATCCATACCAGACACAACACTCACGCTACTCTGTCGTGTTCTTCTACGTGCCTGACTGGGACAAGGACGTCGGCAATGGCGACCTCATGGGCGATCTCATTCCATTCAGCTGAACAAAGATGTAGCCATTCATCATTCCTTTCTTCTATTGTACTGTACATTGATCGATCAATCTATCTTTATATATATATATATATCTTATTGCGATGATGCAGCTGGTGGAGGATTGGGATTGGTTGTGGTCGATTGACATGGTTGCTCGGGATGCTTGTGGATGGGATCTACCCAGTAGACCTTCTCTGGGTTCTCGACGGCGTCAATGTCGAGGTTGACGACAACGGCCTCGTTGTCACTGCGCACCAGAACACACTCGAGAGGCTCGTCAGTGCTGGCGTTGATCTCTTGATGGGGGACAAAGGGAGGCACAAAGATGAAGTCACCGGGACCGGCCTCAGCAACGAACTCCAAGTGCTCGCCCCAGCGCAATCTAGCCTGCCCCTTGATGATATAGATGACGCTCTCCAGTTCACCATGATGATGTGCACCTGTCTTTGCATCGGGCAATATGTTCACAGTGCCTGCCCATATCTTCTTTGCGCCGACGCTAGCAGCACTGATCGCCGCAGCTCTATTCATACCAGGTGTTTGAGCAGTATTACTATCCAATTGATTGGCCTTTACAACTCTTATTCCATTATCTCTCCAGTTGGTAGTTGTTGTCGATGTCGTAGTTGTTGATGGGTGACTGTGACTGTGATCATGATGATGATGATGATGATGATGATCACCATGATGATGATGGTGATGATGATGGTGTTCATCACCTTCGTGATGTTCATGTTGATGTGAATGATCCTCGCTCATTGTGTATCTCTATGTTTGTTCTTAAAGAAGTGATTCAATGATTGAAAATGTTGATGATTCTCGAGAGTTGTTTATTTATGTTGCCAGGTCCACTATCACTGGCTCAATCATGTCTCCATCCCCAGCTACAGAGATGTCTGCTGGCGAATTGAGCTTGAGCTGGGACGCAAGGCACCTGGAATATTGTTGGCTGTTGTTGCATTAGGAGCTCCAGAGGTCGCCTCGCGGGGTACTGATAAACTCTTGGAACCAGCGCCCATTGGCCTCAATGAGACCTACCGACCAATGCAGGGGGTTGCCTTGGTGATAGTCATTGGTGATCCTTCCGATCAATCTCCAGCCGACAAGGATGTCCTTCTTAAGCTTGATGGCCACATTTCGAGACCTAGGTCCAACGATACGATTTTCATGCGGAAGATTGACTCCGAGGTGGAGCTCTATTCCTACGATTGATTGCTCGTTAGATTCGCCTCCTATGTCCACTACAATGGCAGTGGCATCGTGGCTATCAAGACCCTGGCTGTACTCGAGAAGATAGACATCTCCTTCCTTTGATTGATATACTACTCTTGTTGGTGAACTCCTAGCTTGATCCTCTAGTTCATTATCAAAGTTACCCATTATAACAATGAACTCATGTTACCTTCGCATGGACTGTACCATCTTATGTCAATGTACATGTTCTTGTAAATAGGTGTCAATGAATGTCGACAACCAGTTTGTCAGAATGCCCAAAATGGGTCAATCATTTTAAAAACTTTACTTCTGATAGTCTGTATAGATGTAGACATGTAGTTATATAGTTGTAGTTGAGGTAGTTGTAGTTGGTGTAGGAGGCAAACGATTGGTTGTAGAGTACTTGAGCATCCATGAATAGATGTCATTGACATTGTTGACTGGGTTGTATGTTTGATCCCAGCCACCATGTCCACTGGTCTTCTTGTAAACAGTGAACTTTGCCGGTGGATTGATACCCAGACCGTTCAATGCATTGGTGACAGTACCAGTGATGTTATAGAAAGGACTGTCATACTCATTGGCGAATCCCCAGAAGGGCAGACCACTGTTGGCCATCGGCGCAAAGAACTTCTTGTCATACCAAGCAATGGCGATGGGTACAACGGCTGCGATACGATTGGCATTGGCAAGACTCAAACCTGGGAAGTGGATGGTGCCTCCACCACCTGCAGACAAGCCCGTGACGTACACTCTGGTCAAGTCAACCTTGTTGCCATAGAGCGATGGCAGAGCCTCGAGTGTGCTTTGGACGGTGATGGCATCAGGCCATCCCGATGTGTGCCATGGAGACAGGACAACGAATGGGAAGTTGGCTGGCCATCCACCAGTATCGATCAACTTTGCCAGTCCCACACCAAGTATCCTGACCACATCCTGTGGGTAGGTGCCACCCTGGCCAACTCCATGCAAGAAGATGATCACTGGTGCAGCGGTACCGTTTCCAAATGTTGGAGGTAGGTACTCGTAGAACAATTGAGGATTGGGATTGGTACTGATCAAAATCGATGTTAGTTCCCTTGCATAGTTGTTTTAGATTGTTGGATGGATAACATACGCTGTTGGCCAGTAGTTCTTACAATTCCTCAGAGTCTGAAGACCATTGGATGAACAGACAAACAATGTTATCAAAGCAACAATAACAAATAGTTGTACAACTTTCATTTCTGATTGATTGATTGAATGATTGTTTGTATCAATTTTCGATAATAGATAAATAGTCAACCGTTGATGTCCATCCAACTAGTATGACCTCATAATGTACTACTATGCTAACCTTACATCTACCTGCCCATCAATGGACAGACAGGTGTCCAGACCAAGGGTCATAATTCGATGGTGGTCCTCATGCCCCCAACAAAAAATATCAATCTTATTGGACCTATCCTATCCTGTCCTTCTACAAATGGGTATTAGTCTATCTATCACTACTAACTCTATCATCTATTGATTCAATACAATTGAAATCAAATAATTATAATAAATGATGGAAAGACATTTCTATATTTCTTGATAAATGGTGTTGGAAGAAGGTGACATTATTGTCTATGATGTAAATGTTTGTGAACTGGTGGTATCGATCTCCTACTTAATCGCATCCACCTCCTAGGTGAGTGTTGCTAAACACCTGCCTTAATTCAGTTCTATTCTGCTCTTGGATACCTTTGATATTGGAATCTATTAAACAAAAGAGGTGAATAATAATAGATTGACACCCACGCACATTATCGGGCACTGGTTCTAATCTTCCCTAGTTGAAAAGAAGGTGATAGATATGAATGATCAAAGACAAGTTGGTGTATTCATATCTTGATCAAAATTGATATTCAATAATTGGTAATGTGTAGTAGACCTTGACAAATATCCACTTGGGTTGAATTACAAAAGAGTGGGGGATTTATAGATCCAAGATCCAATCCATCAATTAATTTAATCACGATACAGATTATTATTATTATATGAATATTAAAATATATTACAAAAAAAATAAAATGAAAATATCTTTTATCAACTTACTAATAGTTCTGGTTGCCCTAATATTTGCTATTTCAATTCCTTTTATTAAAGGAGAGGAACAGTAAGTATCCATTGGTCGAATTATTCAAGTTTGTAATAGGTAGAGATAACATCTATTAACATTATTATTATTTTTAATATCTAAAATGTTAATAGATCAATCAATTATTCTCAACAAATGGGAAGTGTAGATGATGGGGATGGATCAGGTAATTTACTATCAAATCTTCTATTTTAACTTTATTTCTTACTGATAAACCAATCCTACTTAGGGTCTGTTTATGAGAACATTGAAAACTCGGGCCCAAATCATCATAAACCAACAAGGTATGTTAAACAAGTTTTATTGTTAATATATAATAATATTAATAATAACGTTGTTTTTTTCAGGGAGAATAAAAGAGTTGAATCAGAAATTGGTAAGAAGATATATATATCTTTTAAATTATTAATAGCTAATATTAATATTCATATTCAACTTAGATGTGAATGCAAATAGTAAAATGGCTAATAACTTACAACAGTCAAATAATGTTAACATTTATGGAGATATTGACAACATTGATCATGTAATAATAATACAATCAAACTCGTTTTCTCCTGCCTTTCAAAGAAATGCTGGTAGCAGTAATTCAAATGAATAACTTTTATAATAATGGAGATCTATTAGAAATGTTCCTCACTTCAAGCCAACTTCTACACTGATATGAAATGACCATTCACAATAGATAGGAGTATTCTACAAATCAATCTTTGATAAATATATATATTAATAATAAAGTAGATTGTCCAAACACCCAGCTGGGTCGTTGTCTCATGATTACAAACTGGGAATAAATGTAATTTAACAACAGAATAATAATCATAATTTGTCTACTACTGGTATTATTATTAAATTCGATAATGTTGGAACAATATACGTACTTCCATACGTATAGTATTTTTGTTTCTTTGGTGATATTAACGAGTAATATTGATCAATCTCCACTGAATCAATAACTCCTCCTCCTCAACCTGTACTCCTGTTTGAATATTTATAACATTATTATAACTCTTGTTACATCTCATTCTCTCTATCTCTATATTCTATTGTTGTGACACATCCAAACATGTGAAGACATGGGTAAGGGCAAGGGTAGGGTTCAATACCCTTTGATGTTTATTATTGGACATGAAGATTTAGTTTGAGTAGAGATGGATGATCTTTTGGTTTTTCCAAAGGACTGGTTTGGTCAGGTCCTACGTTTACATTTCCAGTTGTTGTCATGAGATTACCTGTGATAGCAGTCTCAACTCTTGGAATGGTGCTACCACTTGATGGTGGAGTAACTAAACCAATTAGTTGACTTATCGTACCAGTAGTCGTGAAACTTTGACCAGAGATAGGTTGGGAAATTGTTACTCCTACATAAAGAACAAAGAATAGAAAAAGTGTAATACTTAATTGTCCTTTGTTGTTGTTAACAGAAATCATATTTAGAAATTATATTGGTATCTTTATAAAGTTGATATGGAATACTAGATTGATAGTTTGTTGTTTGATTTATTAATTGAGTGATTGTGTAATTTATTTATAAGGAAAGAAAAATATATAAATTTAATATTCCATTAAATTAAATAAATAATAATAGTAATAAAAATATATATTTTCAACCAATTATAAAGGAGATAATAATCTGATCTGATTTATTGACTCGCTATTAACCACTGTGGGGGTTATTGTGGGTTCTTGTTGGATTGTAATGATCAATAAATTTATAATCAATACATATAAATATTAACTTGTAAAAAGGTTAAACAGGAATCAATCCCGAATAGGAGATGTTATAAAATATTTATCCACATTTATTTTCAAAGATCATTTAGATTCAACATAAATAGGTACCGATACTAATACACAACTTTGAATGATATTAAATTATAATATAAAATTAATATAATGTATTTTATATCGGGCAATTGATCGAATTGATCAGGTGGATTCCCAATGTCGTGTTATATCAAAAACACTTTACTATTACCATCAATGTAATAATGTAATAATCTGGTATTAAATCATTATGTATTACCACCATCAATTCCAGTGTTTTCTGGAACTCCACCCTCAACTTCTCCATCTGAATCTTGCATCTTTTTAATAAAAGATCACCAACTTAATATTGGAAAGTTGGTCGCCCAACAGGTAGCCTTGGAAAGAATGTCACAGCACATGGATAATATAATATATATTCTCAAAGTAGGTTTATGATGTAATAATATTCGCCCGCTTGACCTCCTACTTCTGAGCCTTCTTCATCTGTGCTTTCAGTTTCTTGTACTTCTCCTTCTGTTTCTCCAACTGGAGCTTCATGGATCGCTCCTGGTTCTTGGACCTGTATCCTGCCATTGTGCTGTAGAGTTTGTCCGTCACGTCTTTGGGTAGCTGCAGCCTGTCAAACTCTGCCTGCAGGTCCAACACGATGCGATCCACACCATACTTTGACTTGTCGCGCGACTTGCCCTCATTGTCGCTGCTGTTGGCACTGCCGCCGGACGTCGTGATTGAGAGTCCGCCTGCTATTGACGCGGCCGACAGTGAAGATGACATCATCACCTCGAACTTGTTGTTGTTGCCAGACGTCGCCTTTCGCAGGTCGTCCAGCTCCTTCTGGAGCCTGGCGCTCACCTCCTTCTGCTGCTGCAGCTGCTCGGCCAGCAACGCACGCTGCTTCTCGCTCTCAAAGATATCGACGCCCTGGACAATGACGTCGGGCGAGACGACAGATCCCGAGCGGTCATGTCCGCCATCTGATGGTGTTGACGAGTCGGATGATGTGTCGTAGTTGTCCGTCTCCAGCGAGTTCATCAACTGCTTCTTGAGTGTCTCCTGGAAGGTAGTCGTCTCCTGGTCGAGCTCCTTAAGCAGATCATTGCTGCTACTGCTGTTGCTGCTTGATATCTTAACACTGTTCACCAGTCTGTTGCATATACTGCCACTGCTGCTGCCAGTTCCATTCTCGATTGGTGGTGATGATGTTGCCGATGCTGACTCTGCTGACTCTGTTATACTAATACTACATTGTTGTTGCTGTGGCTGCAGGTCGATGTTGGCATTGTTGTTATTGTTGCTGTTATTGTTCTTGTCGCCACTTCCAATGTCCAATTGAGCAGCTCCACTTATATTACTGCTGTTGTTATTGTTGACTGATTCGTATGAAGGACTGTTATCAGCCGACGACCTAGACTGTGTCGTCAGGTCTACCAAATTCGCCGCGGATGTGGCAGTGGTGGATTGCGTCGAGACTGTTGCTGACGCTGTGGATGATGTTGGTACAGTTGTTGGCTTTGATGCTTGTTGCCATGTTGTTGTAGTGGATGATGATGATGTAGTCGTAGTTTGTACAGATGATGATGCAGCTGAAGTGCTCCTCAGCTCGAATTGTGATGCTGCCGTGGGGATTGGCGCACGGGTTGGAGTGGCTGCAGGAGATGAAGATGTGTCGTTGGCACCATCCTTTGATGGAGTCAACGATGGGAACAATTCGAATACAGTGCCTCTTGAAGGCGTCTTGTTGTGACCCATCGTTGTACCAGTCCTCCTGAGTGTATTGAACTCCCTCAACGTCTTCAATGTACCAATAATAGATTGTTTGCCAGCAGTGATACCCTATTTGATTGATTGATTGATTGGTCGTTAGTAGGGATGACACCTACTTGTTTGTTTGAATGGACAAAGAGATAACATACTGATACCCAAACATGCTTAAGGGTTTGTGCTGCTGTTGGACGTTTGTGTTGATCAACTGTGAGCAGAGCCTTGATCAGGTCCTTGGCAGAGTCAGAGATGTTGTCCCACTCTGGTGATGGGAACTCCAAGTTCCAACCAGTGGTCTCATCAAATGGAGGGAATCCACAGAGCCTAATGGAGGGGATGAGTTAGAATCGAGGTCAAAGACACATGAACGTTCAACAATACATACAATATATATATTATAACACCAACTGACCACATGTCTGCTGGCTTTCCATAGCCAGAGAATGAACTGATCTCGGGCGCCATGTAGGTGGCGGTACCGACGAGTGAGCGCAATGTAGTGCCTTGTGGACATCGCTGCGACAGACCAAAGTCGCACAGTTTGATGATGGCGGCATCAGAGTTGTCAGAGTAGAGCAGGTTCTCAGGCTTGAGATCGCAATGAACAATGTCCTTTGTGTGAAGATATTGGATGACGCGCACCAGCGTGTTGATCAGCTTGGAGGCATCCTCCTCTGTGTAACTATTGCGCTCGACGATCTTGTCAAACAACTCGCCACCAGTGACCAGCTCCAAGATCAAGATCACATCGCTGTCAGTCTCGTAGACCTCCTTAAGTGCAATCACATTCGTATGCTTTACATCCAACATTATCTCGACCTCCTTAACCAAAGTCTGTTCATCCACTACATTCCTCTTCATTATCTTTAATGCCCATTGCTTTCCAGTGCTCTTCTCTGTTCCTGATCTTACAACTGAGAACTTGCCACTATCATGATAATTGTCATTGTCATTGTTAGACTAATGTTTGATTGATTGATTGATTAGTATATGTATACATACGCTCCCAATTGTGAACCAACATCATAAGTCTTTTGAAGATTTGAAGTTATACTACCCTTGATTAGATTCTTCATGATTTGGCACCTCACTCACTTGTGCTCTATCTATTCTTTGAAGAGTAATAACTAGTTAGTTTATCTGTATATATATATATATATTAATAAATAAATAATAAATCAAGATAAGATAAGATAAGATATCTGATAATATAGTACTAATAAATATATGATTGATGCTTGCGCTAGAGAGAAAAGGATCGATTCTTTGATTCCCAAGGATAGTGTGAATGTATGAATGAATGAATGATGTGCGCGCGCGATATACAACCCTTATAACAAATAATAAAAGCGAGTAAGTGAATGATTGATTGATTGATTGATTGATGGAATGATTGAAGGGGAGTGAAGGAAGGAAGGAGACACAAACAAGATGATCGGCCTGGGTGTAGGTTCGGTCACACTGTCTCACAAGCTTTAAAGTTGTTATCTATAAAGTGTGTCAGAGTGTGTGTTTGATTGATTGTTTGTGTGTCGTTTGGGGGGTGGTTGATCATTTTTAGATCAGTACTTGGATGAGAAGAAGGGGTAGTGATGGCATATAGTCTATAGACAACAACAAAGGGTTATAAATCTATCTGTGTGTTTGTGTTCGTGTTCGTGTGTGTGTGTTTAAGATAAATGGGCAATGACTGAAATATATATAAATGTACTTACCTATTTAATCTGATTGATTAGAGTTAGTTGTAATCTGAACACTGTGTTTGATCAAACTTAATGATATATCCTGATTGATTATTAAATTGTGATAGTAGTAGTAGTAATACAATAGAATAAGTTAAGTTAATTATTATTACAACAACAATAAATAAATGTTTGATTGAAACAGAGTGGAGAGTTTTGGATCAAGCGATTGATGACCATCCCACCTCCCAAACCCATCAACAACGTTGTTGTGGTGTGATAGCTCTTTGCTGATTTTTTGTGAATGTTTGAAAAACACCATTTTGATCAAACAGATAATTGTTGACCTTTTGTTCGCTCATTCATACTGATCGTGGTGTTAGTCGAATACTCGTACAATTACATAACAAAGATTATGGATTGATCCCACTTGTGAAGTTGTGATCCCGATCCTGGGAACCACCTACCCCCACTCACTGACTCCGACCGAAGAGTCGTCTTTCAAGTTCTGACTTCACACGCTCCATCATTGTCATAACTTATAACAACAAACAAATATATATATAATATATTTAGGATGGCATTGGGCATAGAGATATGTGTTGACAGCTTGGCATCATGTATTGAGGCTGTGGAGGGTGGCGCAGTACGCTTGGAGTTGTGCTCTGCATTGTTCTTGGGTGGACTCACACCAAGTTATGGACTGATGAAGATTGTTCGTGACAAGCTACCAGATACACCGGTCAATGTGATGATCAGACCAAGGGAAGGTGACTTCCACTATACACGCGACGAGATCGAGTTGATGAAGCACGACATCACTCAAGCCAAGCAACTAGGTTACCATGGTGTTGTCTTTGGTGCCCTCACGCCCATTGGCACCATCGACATTGCCACCACAAAGGAGTTGATCGAACATGCCAAGCCACTCTCCATCACCTTTCATCGTGCTGTTGGTATGTGCTACCTCTCTCGCTTGCTCACTCATTCACTGACTGACACATACTCAAGACATGTGTAGGGATCATCGCGAAGCAATAGAGGACCTGTTGTCAATTGGAAATATTGACAGACTGTTGACATCTGGCTTGGAGTCATCTGTCATGGAGGGTATTGATACGATCAAGGAGATGATAGAGTTGGTCAAGCAACGTAACTCATCGATGATTGTAATGCCAGGAGGTGGTGTATCAGAGCGTAACATCAAAAAGATAGTAAGAGAGTTGCAGGTTAACGAGATACATCTATCTGGTCGTGTCAAGCTTGACTCTACCATGCAATACAGGAACACCAGAGTGTTCATGGGAGGAGAGTTACGCCAGTCCGAGTACCAACTAGCCGTTGCCAATGCCAACAAGATCAAGACATTCTACAACAACGCAACTCAATGAACATGTTACCTAAAGTTAAAGTTTGTGTTAGGGTTAGGGCGAGGGCGAGGGCAAGGGTAAGGGTAAGTTAAAACAGAGGTGACAAGACGAGAGAGGTTGGCGGGAGAAGGAGGTGAATGTGTCTGAAGAATGCACGTCTCGATGTAGCACACTGCTAGTGTGTCGACATTATGAAGACTGGGTGCATTCTCTGGTCCTCCCGTTGGACTCTCTCGTCCGTGTCCTCCTGGTGGCAGGGGGTTTATTAATCAAGTAAGGTTGGCGCGCGCGTGTTGTAGGTATGTAGGTGTAGGCAACTGAACAAACTAACTAATTAACTTAGTATGAGGTGGCATTGTCGATTGAAGTGTTCTTCTTGTTGAAGACGCGACGGAAGCACTCTCCAAAGATCTCGAGCAAGATGAATGGTCCAACGTCTGGGCGCAGGAACCAGGTCTTTGGCTCAACTCCGGTCATGACAGCGGCCCACTCAGCGAGGAAACGGCTGCCTCTCTTGCCGATGAGGGTGGCGGCGGCATCGAGGACGATTGGGAACCTGTAGAGGAAGAGCGACATGGTCATGGAGACGCCGAACTCGTGGCCGAAGCGGGCCATCCAGGCGTCCTGGTATCTCTTGAGAGACTGGGCGCTGAGGTCCTTCTCGGCAAAGGCCTTGATGAGGGACTGGGCACCGATCTTGCCACTCTCCATGGCGTACTGGATACCCTCTCCAGTCAATGGGTCGATGAAACCGGCGGCATCACCGATGATGATGAGATGGTCGTCGAACGACTTCTCAATTCCTCCGAGACGGAGTGGGGCGGCCTTCATACGCTCAATCTCTGGGTTGGGGCCGAGGGCCTTGGAGATGAATGGGTCCTTCTCGATGTACTCGTGGTGCAGACGGTGGAGATCCTCGTTCTTGGCCTCACCACCTGGGATGATGTAGGCCAGATAGTTGAGCTCGTCACGGGCCTCACGGATGATGGCGCAGTAACCTGGCAGCAATGACTTGGGGTAGAAGACGACACCATCGTATGGGAAGGTGGTGTTGTTCTTGACGTAGGCACGCGAGCAAACTCCGTTTGGCTCAGTGTTGACGTAGCCGAGCTGGCGAGCGGTGGCTGATGGCGAACCGTCGGCACAGACAAGGCAACGAGCACGGAAGGTGACTGGGACGTTGTCCTCGGAACCAAAGCATTGGATGGTCCAGAGACCGGTGGAGCGGTCGAACTTGGCCTCCTGGACGGTGGTGTTCTCGTGCAGCTCAGCGCCCATGCGCTTGGCGGCCTTGGCGATCTTCTCGTCCAGGTAGATACGCTTGACGGCGATGACGGCACCACGGTTGTACTTGGCATCACGAGCCATCTCCTTGGCCGAGTTACCGATGAAGCTGTTGCCGTTTGGCGAGACGAAACCTCCGTTCTGGGCAAAGTGGCCGAGGTTCTCGTCGACGAGCTCCTTCATCACACCCATCTCACGGAGGATGTCCTGAGCCATGGTGGCGACGGCGTCACCGCAGAACTTGTCACGTGGGAACTTCTTCTTCTCCAACAATGCGACCTTTCTTCCCTCACGAGCCAAGAAGTAGCCAAGAGTTGATCCACTTGGACCAGCACCAATGCAAGCAACATCATAAATCTCCTCCTCATATGTCATGTTCTGTAATCCATCATTTGATTGATTGATTGGATTGATTGATTGATTGAGTGGGGTGTGGGTGGGAGAGGGGGTGATTGGAATGATTCCAGTGTTAGTCGTCTGTTTGTGTGTGTTGTGTGAGGAGATTGTTTGGGATGGATGGACATACGGGGATGGCGGCAAAGTTGTATCTCTTCTCAGTACCTCTGACGATCTTGGCGATGGTCTTGGCGGTGAGGAGACCAGCAGCGACGGCGGTAACACCAGCAACGACTGGGTTCTCACGGACAAACTTGTTGTCGATGATCTTCTGGGCACCTGGGATCTTGGTGACGTTGTCTTGCAAGAAGGCAACGGTTGACTTGACGACTTGAGAATCCATATTATATATTGTTGTTGTGGTTTTGGTGTAAAGGGATATAGAAGAAGTTTATTATATATAATATTTATGTGTGTGTAGTTGTATATTTGTGTGAACAGGTCGAGAGAAGAGAAGAGAGAACAGAGGGACCAGAGTAAGGTCTGAGGACTGATTGATTGGGATGAGTGTGAACGACGTTCGTCTGATCAGGTGAGCAGAGAGTGCTTTTGTGGTGATGTTGGGCCTCTTTTGTGGTGAAGGTGGGCCACTTGGTCCCAAAAACAATCAAAACATAAAAATCTTCAAAACAAGTTAATATAATTAATTAAGTTCTTGTTTGACTTCATTGTTGAAGGTGAGAAGTGACCTCCCCTGAAAGGCAGCATTGGCCTATCACATCTGTTCATACAAGATGAAATGATGTGATTGATTGTTTGTTGTACTTCGACCTTGTTTTTGTTTTGGACACACGGTCAGACTCATGATCATTCCTTTAAATTGAGTGATATTAGTCCACTTATGGCGATCAATAAGTTATGACCCTAGATCCAGAGGATTGTTCCACACATCTTATTATTACCACACTAATAGTTTAGTTATTTGTTTGTTATTATTACATATCCATTCAAAATGATTCCAGACTGGACTTTTGGAACATCCTCCCTCAACGACTAAACAACAACAAACACCTCCTTGTACAATAATTTTGAATGTTTGAATCCACAAGCAAGTTGTACTAATAAGGTAATCAATCACTGTGAATGAATGAATGGGTGATCATTGCTTATCGAACACGTGATCATGATCAATCTCAAGGGCACGTCACGCTTGATTGGTTGTAATCAAAAATATCTCTTTTGCAGAGACGTTACATTTAAAGGGGCCAACAACAAGGCCTTGTTTGTGGGCAACAACTAATAACATCATGATGGTCATAGAGTTGTAGCATCGGCGATACTAATAGTACCCTCTATTATTCATTCCACCATCATCCATCCATTCTAGTATAATGTCCATTTACAAGTTGCCAAGGCCTTGCACCCTTGACCTAACATCTCCATATTCATACATTCATTCATCCATGGGATTTGGGACTTTGTTGGCAATGGGTTGGTACTTACTTATCCATGATCATGAGTCAAAGTGACATTACCAATCAATCAATGAATGAATGAATGAATCAATCAATCAATCAATCAATCATTAAATCAATCAATAAATCAATCAGACAAAACATAGTATACAATGATCAATCAATAAACAGTTGTATTATTTGTAAGTATGTGACTTAAAGGTGATCAAGTTGATTCGAATCACCATCGATAAAGGGGCACGAAATACACAATATCTTTCTTTGTATTACAATTTTCAAATCATCGAGCATCGAGCACCAGTCACCATCAGCACCACCATCAGCGGAGGACATACCAGATGGACTTGACCTGATTGATATTGAGTGTACCCAGGTTGCACCACAAGTTAGATTCCAGGGCCTCCCCGCTTCCACATCAATGGAACGAATCACAATCAGCAAGATTCTGCAGAGCGTGCTTGAACCAATGGTCCGCGACTCTCTGTCTCGCACATACACCTCCAATCAATCCAACCATTAGCTGACTACCTGCACATCATCACACCAATGTTCCGAAACCCTTGGCATGTCAAAGGGCCATCCATCAAGCAAAAACACACACTCATCACACACACCCCACAAGTGATCAGCAAAGATGGGCACAATCATCTTAGTTGTTAATCAGGTCAACATTACACACATATACATACATACACACAAACACACACACACACCACCAATCAATCTTGGAGTGCTTAACACATGTACAACCCTACCCTTTCCTCCGCCCTTGGTCCAAAGGCGGGCTCTTTTGTCGAGGGCTCTGCGGAGGTCAAACACACACACACACTCTAAATCACCAACCAACCAACCAAATACATTACTTGATCAGCAGTAACACATGTCCCCTATTTGCTTCCACACCAACAGTCACAACTACAATTACAACAACAACAAACAATCAATCAATCAAACACACAACAACAATAACAACAAACATATTCATATCTTTCCATCCCAAGGCCTCTTGTGGCCACATACATCGCCACAAAAAAGCAGCGCAGTAGCAATAACCAGCTACAACAGCAATAGTACAAATACAACCCCTACCTCTATTTGCATACAACCTTGCCCTGCCTTGCCGTTTCCACCCCGGCTCGACCTCCTCATCCATCCAACTTATCACACACCACTGAATGTCGATTGACACCTTGGGCCTCCAACAAACAAATCATTGATCGGCACACGGCACGGCACACTACTACCTTCCAAACAGTCAACCAACTAACTAAACCAAACCAATCAACCAATCAACCAATCAACCAACCAACTTCAACGCAACCAACTAACTGTGTTCCATCTCCTCTTCCTCAATCCTTTGTTAATTGTTGGATTATCACATATTATTATTATTTGTATTTTTTTTTTCGGATTCCTTTTAGGATTGGAACCAATCAGGACTAATTCCGAACAATCTCAATAATCACTCAATCAATCACACATCAACTAATAATTTATTTATATTTATATATTTATAACCATAATAGATCAATCAAACAACTACTAATTTCCAAACTTGTATTTCTACAAATACCCTGCATCACTATTGAGATCCAGCCTTAGGCTCCTCAATTGACTTTCCAACTCGCCTGTACAATATATCGAGATCAACCAAACAATCAATTAATCAGCCATTGTATTTATTATTAATATTTAAATAATTTATTATCAATCAACCAAATAATTAATTATTGGAATAATTCCACACCAGTCAATCAATCATACTCAAACAAACAAATAATCCAGTAACTGTAAATAATATAAACTATACACATACATACATAAATGAATCCAATGTTAAAAGCATATACACCATCACAACAAGAGATGGTGTATCATGAGATGGCAGCATCCACACCACCAAGCAGCTACTCACCTCTGTTTCGAGCTTATGGCAATTACCATTATGCCAGCGGAGGCAGTGGCGGCAGCAGTCGGTACTGCATCGATCCGATGGAGGACGACCAGATGGACGTCAAACTCTACGAGCAGACACAGCGATTCATTGGCCGCATCCAGTTCCTGGAGGAGGAGATCAATCGCAAGAAGGAGACCATCGACGGCCTGCAACACCAACTGACCAAGTACGAGCAGGAGCGCCAGGCCGAGAAGAAGAAACAGAGTCGCTACTGGACGCCTGAGGAGCATCACCGCTTCCTGGAGGCGCTCAGCAAGTTTGGCCATCGCGACGTCAAGTCCATCGCCAACTTTGTCGGCACGAGGAATGCGACACAGGTGCGCACACACGCACAGAAGTACTTTCTGCGCATTGATCGCGAGCGACAGAGGAAGCTGGAGAACAGAGAGTCCTTTGACAAGGACGATCGCAACAATGACGAGTGGCTACGTGAGGACTATGGCGATGACATTGACAGTCCATCACTGCTCTCATCCAACAACTCATTCCACACCAACTCACCCGGTTCCATCATACCAATCAATCCATTCACATCATCATCATCCATGAACTCCTCTGGACAAAACTCTCCAAACTTCAAAAGAAAGGTAAGTTTAGTTTATAGTTTGATGACATTGACCATGGTACTTACTTACATTCATTCACTCATTTAACAACAACAGAGAGAGACTGTATCAATAACAGCAGCACAAGCAAAGAATGCACAATTGTACAAAGAATCAGTATTGTCTGCCATGCCATCCAACTGGACTGCCGTAGACTATGAGTACTTTTCACGTGGATTGATATCATTCATTGATCAGGATGATGTAAGTACTACTATCCACTCAATCAAATAAACAATCACTAACTCAATACTCACTCAATCAATCAAACAAAAAGACTCATACTCTGTTTAAAATGATCAAGGATCAGTTCTTGAACCATCACTCGATTGAGACTATTGAGATGGCTTACAGGGCATTCCTAAAGGCCGTCAACCATAAGTCAAAGGAGACCAGTCCTTTGAATTCTCCAGGTGGCAGTGCAATGCACAGTGGTTCATCAGCAATCAACAATCCAAACATATCACTTAACAATAACAACAACAACAACAACAACAACATGACACCATCCAATGGCTCACCAAACATCGTTCCACATCTTGCATTACCATCCAACCTCAACAACAGCACCAACAACTCACCGGAGCCAACATCGCCACACATGTCTCGCAACTCACCCAGACTCTTCAAGAAGAGGATACCGCCTGTAAATATCAACCGACCAGAGTATACATCGCAGGTCGTCCCGCCCGGCCCTGTGCCCTCGCCAGGCTCACTGTATGGAGGCGGAATGCCACCCTACATGACCGGCTCGACCATGATGGTGCCACCAGGATTGCCTCTGATGCACCCATCGTCACCCAACACAGCCATGTGGACTCCACGTTCTCACCCATCATATGATATCCGTCGTCTGGAGCCTCCTCCCTACCCATCGTTGATGTCAACCTACATGCCTCAGATGCCATTGTCTATGATGGGCGATGGAGGCGGCGGCGGTGGTGGTCTTGGCCAGCCAATGGGCGGCAATGACTCTCCAAACAATGGACATCATTGGCAAGGATATGGTAGTGTTGATGGTCCAGGTGCATCGTGGAGCATGAACCAGACCATCTCTGCATTCTCACATGCAAACATCAATAGCAACAACAACAATGGTGGTGGTGGAGGAGGAAACACATCATCATCCTCATCCAATGAGAGACATGAGGGATAACAGACAGGTGTTCATCGTTGCGGATTCCGAATATCCAAATTTGTTGTACCATCAATCATAGTAGTTTGGACCATCAACCAATCAACCCAATCAATCAATCAATCCATTGTATATAATAAACAAACAATCCAATGGTCCAACCTATCCTTTAATCACAACTGCTGCTGCTTTCTGATGAACACCAACTGATTGTCAAGCCAATCTAGCTCAGCTTGATTGAACGTGCTCCAGATGTTACCAACACGTTGTTGCTCTTCTTGAAGTTCTTGTTGTCGTTTGGAGAGATGCGCCACAAGATGTTGATACATTGTTTTTTGGTGATCTTGACGTTGAGCTTGGATCGATTCCAACTCGCCCTTTAGTGATGTGACCAGGGTGGTGTCCACATCCAGTGCGTTCTGCATCTCTGCCAGCTGTTGCTTCTTCTCCACCACCAACTGTTGTTGCTGCTTGATTTCGTTCAATATATTTCCAGCCTCAACAAACTGTTTGGCATCCTTTGCCTGATTCTTTGATTGTTCAAGCTGAGGTATCGTCTCCATGATCACATTGATCGAGTTCTTCAACAATCCATTATCCTTTTGCTTTGACAAAATACTAGATTGTAGGCTTTCAATGTTCAAAGTGATTGAGTCCATCTTCTTATTAAGTCTGGTTTGATTGATTGGGAATGAATCCAAGGTCAGGCATTGCAATTCAAAGATTCAGTGTGCCCTTGTACTTACAACTCAATGGTTTCGGTATGTTCCAATACATCATTGTAGATTGTGTTGAGGACTGTTTGTTGGACGGTGATGCTGGTTATTGAGTTGGTAATGTCGTTGTCGAATGTGGAATGCTGATCAATCACTTGGTCCACTTGTTGTATGAGTTTGAATGATTGATGATCTTTGGGATTCTTCTTGGTATCGTGTTGCTGTTTGATCTCGACCAACTCCTCGGTGAGCACCTCTATGTGCCGCAGCTTCTTCTGAACGTCCGCCTTCTTCTTATCAATTCTGCTGAACTCTTTGTGGAACTTTCCACGAGCCTGCTCAATCTTGGCGTCCACGTCATTGATCTCAGAGTCAAGCTGTGCCTGCTCCCGGTGCTTCTCATCCAGCAGTCTTGTCAGTTGTTCAATCTCCAATTGTTTCTCATTGCGCTTCTCCTGCAGTGCCAGACGATCATTGGTGAGGGGCTCAGTGGCCACGGCGATCGTATCATCCAGTGACGCAATACTCTTGTCGAGCAGCTCTTGGTCCAGCTCCACATGGCTCTGCTCACGACTGACGATCTCCTCCTTGACGGCAATCTCATCGACCAGGTTGGCGAGATCATTGGCAACCTGCTCCTGGTATTGTTGTGCCAGCTCCACATGCTTCAGACGCACCGCAGTCATGTTGTCGACAATCGTGGACAGCTCCTCGCGGTAACGCTGTGCCGTTGTATCCAGTGATTCGCCCGCAGCGCCGCCATCCAACATCTGCATATTCAGCATGCTCACTTGTTTCTTCTTGAGCTCAGTGTCTATGTCCCTTATCTCCTGGATTTGGCCATCGATTGTGTGTGCCAGTTCAAAGTCGTCAGAGTCGACAGCTCTAGCTTGCTCCTCCTCCAACTCAATGATCCGTCTAGCATTGTCATCCAGTGTGGTGTTGATTGACTTGCTCTCATAGAACATCTTTTGACAACTATCCTTAATGGACTCGATTGAGTATTTGAATATACGTTGTCTTTCAGTGTATCTATTGATTGTTTCAGTTAACTGATTCTCGTCATTATCCTTTTGGTTGTCGTCAATGTCATTGTTGTTGTTGTTGTTTGCACTGATTGGTGACCCTTGTGAGGAGGAATCGACAATGTTTGGGTCACGTTCACGATGATGATCATTGAGTGTTGAGGGTTGTTGTTCAACGACCAAGGTATAATGATGATCTTGTTCAGAGACGTGCGTATCCAAATGTGAAGAATCAGTGACAGTTTGAGAAGGTGATGTTTGTGGAGTGACGATAACATCAATTTCTTCATCATCACCATTGATTGATATATCTTGACCACCATCATCTTGATCATCATCATTATCATCACTAGTTCCACGTCCAGGTCTTGTAATGACATTCTTTATCTTCTTGATTGGTCGTTTCTTTAGTGAATGATAATCAACAGTGTCAGAGTGTTCATCACCGGTTGTCACAACCACTTGTTGAGGAGGAGGTGTAGATGGTTGTGTTGTTGTTGTTTGTTGTGATTGCTTGTTGTTGTTATTGGATGACTTGAATGTTAGACTTTGAAAGAGACCAGTTGGTGCTGTTGGTGTTGTTGTTGTTGATGATGAAGAGTCATTTTGAGTTTGAGCAGGAGGCTTCTTTCTTGTGAATAGTCCATCCATTAGTGTGTCTTTGTTGTTGTTATTGTTGTTGTTGATATTGTTTCAGTAATTGCCTGATGGAGATCATCAAACCATTTGTAGGGGTGAGTTTTGAGAATCATGAACAGTTTGTTTAAATAAGAAAGAAATTTTCTTTTGGATTATTATTTATTTAAATAGAAGTTGAATCATCAACTCAATTTTGGAAAATAATATTTGGTTGTTAGAGTATACGCGTCATAACAATAATTTTATGGACGAGATAGTTTTTCCAGGATTATTATCATCTTAATTAAATCTTTACCTAGCCAGAAGAATCATAAATAGGTAGTCCTGGACCCCGATGAAACCCATAAGATTGAGCTTGTTTATCAATTGCAGAGTGCCAATTGGCTTCATTTTGATTTAGATTGTATGCTAAACTATGAGATCTCGCCTCTAGAAGTATATGAACAATTTTATAAGTAAGATAATAATAATTTTGAATAGATATTTATAATATTCTTACGAGATATTTGTGAATCCACTTGATCAGTTTCCCTAAGAAAAATAAATCATTAATATTAATATTATTTTTTAGATTTGACAAAGTTCTTGTCAATCACTTACAATTCATTTGAATAAACAAATGTTGTTGAACATAAAATGGTAATTACCAGAAGAACTAATAAACTAAATATATATAATCTCATATTTTTATAGGTTTCCTGTTGATAAACAATATATATATATATTAATATGAAAAATGTTTAATATAAATCACCATTTGCTCAGTATTGAAGTTTTTATTGGTATAATTTAAAATCCAAAATACAAATATTATAATATATAGTAATAATTGATCAGAATTCCCAAATATGAATTACAACGTGTGTTTAATTGGATTATTGAACAATCTATTAGTAGATTATTATTGCCAACTAAATTACAAATAGTAATTATCCGGATATTGTTTGTTATTTTAGTTGTAATTGTGAATGTTAGACTTGTGTTGTTGTTGTTGTTTATGATGATAATTTTGAGTTGGTGTAGACTACTAAAATAAAAAATATCCTTGTTTGAAATCTTTTTATTAAGTTGTAGTAGATTGACCAAGACATAATCAATCACAGTTGTAATCAAATTAGGGGGGGGGGGTGGGGGTGA